TACAAGTACAGTACAGTATTTTCTGAGGAAATACTCGTACTTATTTTTTTTAACCCCATTCCCGATAACTCGGCATTTTCACAAACTCGGCCACCCTTCGGTCCACATTAGGTCGAGTTTTTGAGGTTCTACTGTATAAGAAATTTGTTAGCATTTATTGGTAATATTAAAAATTATACTATTTATTTTATTTTTAAAAATTAATTAACTTAAATTTTGAATATATTTAAAATTTATGACAATATAATAATTCAAAGAGGATCCATAAAAAGTTGGAAATGAGTACTGTTATGAAAAAGCTGAATAAGTATCAAACATGTCAACATCTCAAAGCCTGATGTTCTAATAATAATCCAAATGAATGTTGTATTTTAATTAGGCTATTTTACCACTGCTATTAATAGTAGCAATAAAGTAGCCTGATTTTATTATGGCAATCATTTGGCTTAAGTTTCAAATAGTTATTGATCACAAAATGTAAGATATTGCACAAATATTTAAGTACAACAGTATATTTAGTTCATAACAGCTTACTTTTAAGGAATTTATTCCTATTGATAGTACATAAGTTAATTATCTGTCATTCTGATACTATAGAGATAATTTTCCCCCCACTTTTAATAATTTAAGTGGAAGAAAATAATATAAATAAACTATTTTAATTTTTATTGATTACGAAAGTAAAAAATTAAAATTATTTATTTATTTATATATATACTTTTGGAACTGAAGAATTTTATTTTGTGTAATTTTAAACGAATAAAAGATTACATGTAGATGACATTATTTTGTAAAACAAACTAAAATATAAAACATTGTTAATTTAACATACTTTTAATAATAATTTAATATAATATATATATTTACTATTTTTGTATAACTTAAATGTCATCTGTTCAGTTTTTCAATATGGAATGTCATGCATTAGAACAACTAATGTAAAATTGTTTAAATTATTTTAAAGTTCAAGTTATTGACTTTTAAATATTAAGATATAACTTAAAGACTAATTTAATTCATTGCCTAATAAAAACTTTCATAATTATAACTTTTAGGCATTATGTTGTGTCGATAAGAAAGGTATTTTATCATGGCCAAATCCAACAGCTGAAAAAGTATTTTTTTTAAAATCTGCTCATTGTAAAACTGATTCTGAAGATAATGCATATTTCTCAACGCCATCGATTGATATGGATGAAGCTATTGTTCGAGAAGATTTTAAATCAGAAGAGAGATATCATGAATGTCAACACCATCCAGAAAAATTTGAAAAAAACAAAGATTCTCAAGATCATAGTAAATTTAATTAAATTTTTAAAATCTATATAAAATTTAATAAATTACAAATAATTTACAAAAAAAATTTTTTTAAATCTTAATTAATTCTTAGTTTATCATCCTGAAAGTCAAGTTGAAGTTCTGGATCTTACTCATAGCATAAATGGTCCATTTGGACTTCAGTTTGATGAACCTAAATGGAAAAAGTACTTATCTAATTTGAAACCATTGGTAAATAATAAAATATTTATTTTATGTGAATTAATATTAAAATATTAGAAACATAATATAATATTAAACTCTTAATAAATTATCCAATTTTTATAAATAACAAAATTTAAAATTTATACATTAAAGTTTTTATTTGGAATATCACAATTTTATACATGATGCATACAATCAAATGTTTTTCATCCTCTACAAAGTTTATCTTTGCAAGTCATCCAATAAAATAAGATTCAAACAATCATATTGAATGAGTTTGACTATTTCACAGTCCACCTTCAGTCCATTCATGTTTCAATTCCAAAATATGCATGACCTGAAGTTGGACTATGTAATAGTTTGAAAATGTTTCAAAAAGTTTTTGATTGCCTTAATTTAGCTATATTTTAGTGATGCAACGAATAGTATATTCGGCCTTAGGTCGAATACCAAATATTCAGCCAGGAGTGTGACCGAATAGCTGAATATTCAGCCAAACTATCTGGCTTGATTAACGCATGTACAAGAATTAGCGTGCAAACTGCATTATGGCAAGGATCGCGCATCCTGCTCTCTATTGGCCCACTGTCACTATGCTTTGCCAATCTGTTGGCTACAACTTTGACAGTTGTAGTAGACAGACAAGAGTGTCATGGCAGTATGTGATAAGCGATGATATCGAATGTGGATAACGATGAAATGACCTACACGTGTAAATAATGGAAAAAGAACAGAGAAGGACCGTGAAGTGAAAATAAATATGAAATTGAGTTGATAACACAATCAAACAAGTCGAGGCATCTTATTGGTGCAAAATTCATGGCCATCAGTGCCAAATAATTGTTCTTGTAGACTTCAGAAAGCTAAATGCTTGTAATGAAAGTCATATAGCATGCACAGGTGAAAGCCTGGGGCTGTTCAGGCTACCAAGCTGTCTGGAACTTCAGTTATGATAAATAATTTTGTACAATGAAACAAAAAAGTTAATTTAATTTTCAAGTTTATAATAAAGGATGATTTCATAAAAACGCTTTAAAGATCATTAATTATTATTTTTTTCACATTTTATGACCTCAGTTTCGATCTAATGTGCCCAAGCAGTAAAAATTTTCATACAAATTTTTTACCCTTTTTACCCCTTTAGGGTTGAATTTCATAAAATCTTTTTTTAACACGCCTAAACTTAACAAAAGGAACACACCCTCAAATCTTTAAGTTTCTAGCATTAGTAGTTTTGGCTCTGCATTAATTATCCTATCATGACTTGTTATTTTATATACGAGTATATAGATGACTAAACTACATAATAAGCAGGTAGTTTTCATTTGATTTGTTACCTTTTTTTGATCTCTTAAAAAAGTAACTTAGTTATATTACTTTTCCTTTGATCTTTTACATAAATAAGCAAAAAATTGCACTTTCTAGAAATTGAACTGTATGTTCAGCATTAATAAAAGTTACCAAATGATTAATTTATTGCGTTTTTGTTATTTCTTACTCCTTTTTTAGGTATTCGATATTCAGCCAAATAGTAACTGAATATTTGTTGCATCATTATTATATTTCTTTTTTTCTTCTTTATTATTCTTACTTGAAATCTACAGTATATTCTATATTATTTCAACGTAATAATTATTGATAAATATTCTCTCTACAATTGTTTTTGTTACCTAGTTTAAAATTAAACTAGGATATATTTTAAACTAGGATAAATGAATTAGAATATAATACTTATAAATTATGTTAGATGAAAAAACTGTATCAGTGGGAGAGTTTAATGCATTTATAAATTGTTTTTTATTACTTTATATATTTTGTTTTGTTATAATGATATTTAATTAACATAATGATTCAAAACAAATTATACTATTTATTTTATTTTTAAAAATTAATTAACTTAAATTTTGAATATATTTAAAATTTATGACAATATAATAATTCAAAGAGGATCCATAAAAAGTTGGAAATGAGTACTGTTATGAAAAAGCTGAATAAGTATCAAACATGTCAACATCTCAAAGCCTGATGTTCTAATAATAATCCAAATGAATGTTGTATTTTAATTAGGCTATTTTACCACTGCTATTAATAGTAGCAATAAAGTAGCCTGATTTTATTATGGCAATCATTTGGCTTAAGTTTCAAATAGTTATTGATCACAAAATGTAAGATATTGCACAAATATTTAAGTACAACAGTATATTTAGTTCATAACAGCTTACTTTTAAGGAATTTATTCCTATTGATAGTACATAAGTTAATTATCTGTCATTCTGATACTATAGAGATAATTTTCCCCCCACTTTNAAAGTCAGCATTTTATATTCTGATGATAAACATTTTTTGTTTTTATGTAGATGTCTTTGTGAACTTGCTAAATTAATAGGTTTTACTGACCAAGCTGTTGATGGCTATGATTTTAAACATCATTTAGCTCTCTTCAGACATGTTGTGAGTAAAAAGTGTTTAACACATATGCCTGGTAATTTTTTTATTGTAAATAATTTCTGAATTACAGAGTACTTCAGTTATGTAGATTATCAATTAAAAATTATGCAAAAAAAATATTTTTATGGAAAAGTATGTGACAGTGCTCAAAGAGCCCCCTATGCTTTGGCACCACTGGACTGAAAGGTCGACACCGCGTTTGCGATGACTAGTTTGTCAGGACTGACACCACTGTGTCTTTTAGGCAGATACAGAAACCTAAATGACCTAATAGTGCTAATTTCTTTTTCACATGAGCCATGTTGTAGGTGCTTAGTTCTGATTCAAAAGATGGTACGGGTTGAGGAAGTGCACCAAATACAAATTTAACAATAACAAATTTTCGTTTATTTACTGTAATTACCTAAATGTATACAAGCAAGGCAAATATCTCGCATTTAAAGCTTCATCCTCAATGTTAACTAGTTCATGAATTCAAACTTGGAGAGAGAGAGTTTACATATAAGGTTCATAGATACCTGGTAAGGGATCTAAGGTGACTCGAAAGCTTGATGGAGTTCACTTTTATGGAGTTAATGCAGGATAGAGGAAGGTCACTAAGGGATCTGATCGTTGAAGCAACTCTGACTAGGGTGAACTTTTGGTGGCAACGGAACTTGCAGCACCTATGTCTAATAACAATTTCTTGTCGCCAAGTTCCTGGTGACACATTCGATGTATCATCTTGAAAGGGAAGTGACTCCACAGAGAAATAAAATTATATCCTTTACAATTTTAACAATCATGGGAAAAATTATAGCAAGGTTTTAATTTCAGATTTAAATTTTCACTCATAAAATATTTTATCAATTCACAAGTATATATTTTATAATGTTCTTAATTAGTATTACTGAATAATTAACAAATCAGTTAGTTATTAGTATATTAATTATTAGTAAAATGTAAATTTGTTTACAGAAATATTGACAATTATAGTCATATCTTATTAGCATTTAACATTTTCATCTATTTTCATTATAAACACATCTATTTGATAACTTTTAATCATTAGAACACTAGTTAAGGTTTTTGATATCTAAATTAATATTATATGTAAGAAAACAAATATCTTCGGTAGGGAATATTTTAAAATTCAGTATACATGTGTGTGTGTGTGTGTGTGTAAAATATTCTATGACATGGAGATTTATACGAGCCAAAATGTATTTTTCTTATTTTAAAGTAAATTTTCAGTTTTGTTTACTTTTTGTATTTTTAATGATAATATGCCTATGAAAATTTACTTTTTGTCTTTTGGTTTTAATTATCTGATTTTATTGCCCTTTTTGAAATTAATTAATTTATAGTATAAAATGAAATTGCCACAAAATTATTTTAAGAAATAATTAATTAATTAGTTAAATTTTATTTAAAATTTTTATCTCAACATTTAAGATAGTATACATTTAAACTAAATTAATTTCAAAGTGATATTAATAATAATTTTTTTGAAAATCTATATACGAAATTTTAGCGACCAGAATTAATTCAGAAAGGTCGCCTTGCAAGATCACTCAACTTCCCAAGATTAAAAATGCCATTTCCGACTATGTCATGTGCAGTAATTAAAGACATTCCAAGAGGTAAATTATTCAATTTTTTCATATTATGTTACTAAAGTTAAATGTTTATTTTTGTTGCTTACATAGCTTCTTTATTGTTAAATTCAAACAAAAATGTTTTAATACCTTTAATAAACAGTTCTGTCATAATATAATTTTAAGAATCTTATAAAATAGCATAAAATAATTCAAGTTGTTTGTTTTAATAATTATTAAGTATAATATTAATTGTTTTTGTATTATGTAAATTGTTTTTTATTACTTTATATATTTTGTTTTGTTATAATGATATTTAATTAACATAATGATTCAAAACAGGAAGAATACTGGTTTTTTTTATGTTAACTTAAGTTTTTGGTGTTTCTATTTATTCCTTTTTTGAGTTAAAAATTTATAGTGTAATCTTTGTCTGTCTATATTAATATAATGACAATTATAAATTTTACTAATATATCTCCTATTTTATTTGTTTGCTATCTTAAAATTAATATCTAATTGGATATTATAAATTTTTGTTTAGGGATTAAGTATTTTATTAAATACATGTAATCCATCTAGTCAAGAGCATTATTCACAATTCTGTGATCATATTGCTTGTGAATCTCTTCATAACGATGCTGCCGTTCCAGTAGTTAATAAGAGGTAATTATTTGTGATATTAATTTATATTTATAGTCAGCATTTTATATTCTGATGATAAACATTTTTTGTTTTTATGTAGATGTCTTTGTGAACTTGCTAAATTAATAGGTTTTACTGACCAAGCTGTTGATGGCTATGATTTTAAACATCATTTAGCTCTCTTCAGACATGTTGTGAGTAAAAAGTGTTTAACACATATGCCTGGTAATTTTTTTATTGTAAATAATTTCTGAATTACAGAGTACTTCAGTTATGTAGATTATCAATTAAAAATTATGCAAAAAAAATATTTTTATGGAAAAGTATGTGACAGTGCTCAAAGAGCCCCCTATGCTTTGGCACCACTGGACTGAAAGGTCGACACCGCGTTTGCGATGACTAGTTTGTCAGGACTGACACCACTGTGTCTTTTAGGCAGATACAGAAACCTAAATGACCTAATAGTGCTAATTTCTTTTTCACATGAGCCATGTTGTAGGTGCTTAGTTCTGATTCAAAAGATGGTACGGGTTGAGGAAGTGCACCAAATACAAATTTAACAATAACAAATTTTCGTTTATTTACTGTAATTACCTAAATGTATACAAGCAAGGCAAATATCTCGCATTTAAAGCTTCATCCTCAATGTTAACTAGTTCATGAATTCAAACTTGGAGAGAGAGAGTTTACATATAAGGTTCATAGATACCTGGTAAGGGATCTAAGGTGACTCGAAAGCTTGATGGAGTTCACTTTTATGGAGTTAATGCAGGATAGAGGAAGGTCACTAAGGGATCTGATCGTTGAAGCAACTCTGACTAGGGTGAACTTTTGGTGGCAACGGAACTTGCAGCACCTATGTCTAATAACAATTTCTTGTCGCCAAGTTCCTGGTGACACATTCGATGTATCATCTTGAAAGGGAAGTGACTCCACAGAGAAATAAAATTATATCCTTTACAATTTTAACAATCATGGGAAAAATTATAGCAAGGTTTTAATTTCAGATTTAAATTTTCACTCATAAAATATTTTATCAATTCACAAGTATATATTTTATAATGTTCTTAATTAGTATTACTGAATAATTAACAAATCAGTTAGTTATTAGTATATTAATTATTAGTAAAATGTAAATTTGTTTACAGAAATATTGACAATTATAGTCATATCTTATTAGCATTTAACATTTTCATCTATTTTCATTATAAACACATCTATTTGATAACTTTTAATCATTAGAACACTAGTTAAGGTTTTTGATATCTAAATTAATATTATATGTAAGAAAACAAATATCTTCGGTAGGGAATATTTTAAAATTCAGTATACATGTGTGTGTGTGTGTGTGTGTAAAATATTCTATGACATGGAGATTTATACGAGCCAAAATGTATTTTTCTTATTTTAAAGTAAATTTTCAGTTTTGTTTACTTTTTGTATTTTTAATGATAATATGCCTATGAAAATTTACTTTTTGTCTTTTGGTTTTAATTATCTGATTTTATTGCCCTTTTTGAAATTAATTAATTTATAGTATAAAATGAAATTGCCACAAAATTATTTTAAGAAATAATTAATTAATTAGTTAAATTTTATTTAAAATTTTTATCTCAACATTTAAGATAGTATACATTTAAACTAAATTAATTTCAAAGTGATATTAATAATAATTTTTTTGAAAATCTATATACGAAATTTTAGCGACCAGAATTAATTCAGAAAGGTCGCCTTGCAAGATCACTCAACTTCCCAAGATTAAAAATGCCATTTCCGACTATGTCATGTGCAGTAATTAAAGACATTCCAAGAGGTAAATTATTCAATTTTTTCATATTATGTTACTAAAGTTAAATGTTTATTTTTGTTGCTTACATAGCTTCTTTATTGTTAAATTCAAACAAAAATGTTTTAATACCTTTAATAAACAGTTCTGTCATAATATAATTTTAAGAATCTTATAAAATAGCATAAAATAATTCAAGTTGTTTGTTTTAATAATTATTAAGTATAATATTAATTGTTTTTGTATTATGTAGAAAATCTGCTTGTCACTAGTCAAGATGCTCTATCTTTACTATAGAACTGCATTTTAACATCAAATTATTTAATTATAATAATATAATTCTAGTGCTATAGTATGCAATGTTTTTAAATTTACTTTATATAAACTGTTCTTATAATAATATATTGAATAAGGAAAAAAATGCTAATTATTTAGATTCAGGATATAAAGGAATTAGTTTACCAAATCCAGATTCCTCTACACAGTACTTCTCAAACGATTTGAGATGGCACATTTTCAATCTATTTTCTTAATATATTAAGAATTAGTAGTATATTTATACTACATTATATTTTATTTTATTTGAACATATATAATCTAAGAATAAGATATTAATTTGACTTAAATGAAATATTTTAAAAACACAGCAATAAGGAAAGCTGAAATTAATGATAAAGTAAAAATGCTGAAGAAATGGTTTAGTGTTTGTACAATTCAGAAAGTATTTGCAAAAATATGTGATGAAATTTTATTACAGACCAGTATCAATCAACAGACTACTGCTTTGAATAGCACTGCTCTAAAAATTTAATCCTTTTTTAAAGTTATAGAATGTAATAAAACAACATACTATGGTATATATACAATAGTTTATTTATTGTATGTTAATTTGATAAATGTCTTATATAATAATATAAATATAAAATATAATACTGAACTTAGAAATAATGTTCATTTTATTGTTGGTAACTAAATTATAACATAAAACCATCTTTAACCATTTAGAATTAAAAAGCTCATGCTGTCTGTATGACATACATATTACTTGTATAATAATTACTGCATATTAACAAGGAGAGCCTACGGCTTTGGGGTAACGGATTTTGATGATCTTTGGTGTAGAGGTAGTACACGATGTGAGTGTACTACATGTAAAATACTAAAGTGCAATACTCAAATATAATCGAGAAAATCGAACTTAAAGTTTTGTTAGCACTTTATATATAAATTATACGTAGTTCTATTTGAGCGTCCTGTGGTAGAGCGCATTTAAAGCTTCATCCTCAATGTTAACTAGTTCATGAATTCAAACTTGGAGAGAGAGAGTTTACATATAAGGTTCATAGATACCTGGTAAGGGATCTAAGGTGACTCGAAAGCTTGATGGAGTTCACTTTTATGGAGTTAATGCAGGATAGAGGAAGGTCACTAAGGGATCTGATCGTTGAAGCAACTCTGACTAGGGTGAACTTTTGGTGGCAACGGAACTTGCAGCACCTATGTCTAATAACAATTTCTTGTCGCCAAGTTCCTGGTGACACATTCGATGTATCATCTTGAAAGGGAAGTGACTCCACAGAGAAATAAAATTATATCCTTTACAATTTTAACAATCATGGGAAAAATTATAGCAAGGTTTTAATTTCAGATTTAAATTTTCACTCATAAAATATTTTATCAATTCACAAGTATATATTTTATAATGTTCTTAATTAGTATTACTGAATAATTAACAAATCAGTTAGTTATTAGTATATTAATTATTAGTAAAATGTAAATTTGTTTACAGAAATATTGACAATTATAGTCATATCTTATTAGCATTTAACATTTTCATCTATTTTCATTATAAACACATCTATTTGATAACTTTTAATCATTAGAACACTAGTTAAGGTTTTTGATATCTAAATTAATATTATATGTAAGAAAACAAATATCTTCGGTAGGGNGCGAGAATCGAACTCGAGAACTCAAGCTTATGAATCAGACTCGTTACCACTCTACCACAGGACGCTCAAATAGAACTACGTATAATTTATATATAAAGTGCTAACAAAACTTTAAGTTCGATTTTCTCGATTATATTTGAGTATTGCACTTTAGTATTTTACATGTAGTACACTCACATCGTGTACTACCTCTACACCAAAGATCATCAAAATCCGTTACCCCAAAGCCGTAGGCTCTCCTTGTAAGATAAAAGAATATATTTCAGCTATTATGATTATTATTAGAAAAATATCTTTATTTCGTACTTTCCTTTAACAAGTTTTAGGAACATAATTTTGAAACTAAACAAAAATAACAACATAAATACAACCTCACCATAAACTGGAACTGTAATATTCGCAAATCACACCTAAATTCAAAATTTCCAGCAAATAAACGTCAAAATTATACATTGAACGTTTGCGGCCACTAAATTTATCAGCCTTCTTCAGGAAATACAAACTGGAAAAACCGTTCTATAAATATTAGATTCCTTTTAAATTTTAAAAGAATGATAAACGGCTATGACGTATCATGTATGACGTATATTATGAGTCAAGATAGCGTTTCCAGACTGTTGATACAGGAATGACATCCGTGTTGATGCAGTTTCCACTCATGCTTGCCTTGTAGATCTCTACTGCCTCCAAAATTTTTATGTCTTGTCTGTTGAAAACCTTGTGTATTAGCTTGGCCTGGTCCCAACGGGGGAAATCCCCGGATCGCTGGCATACCGTGCTAAAGCCGTATTGATGTTACCTTTTAGCACGTCATATTTGTGATCTTTTAGTCTTGAAGAGATCTGTATGTGGATCCTATGTAAGTTAGTAATCTGTCAAACCTCTCGTCACATAGGGGGATGTGGTAAATCCCAGGAGCCAGAGCGTCTTCAGTGTCGTCCTTCGCGTTTGTGAGAAGGCGGAAAATGGTGGGTTTCCTTCTATAGGCCAGGAGTACGTTTAAGTTATTTGCGATCCTTCTGTATATGCGATGTAGTGTCGGTTCGTAGTCTAAGATCACCCGATTTGCTTCTGCTTTGTTAACCCTGTTAGATGACTGACTTAGATATCTGGATGCCAGTTTGTCGATAAACGTGCGGCCATATCCGAGGTTGTATACTACTTGTCTGAGATGTTCCAGTTCCTTATTGGTATCAGACAACTGTGTAGAATGGGAGTATGCTCTGGCCACAAGAGTGCGGAATGCAGATGTCTTATTTGTCCATGGGACCACTGAATTGGAAGGTATGAATATGGGGATGGAAGTAGCTTTGTGGTAAATTGCCAAGACAAATTTGCTATCAGTTACTTGTATCCTGATGTCCAAGAAATTAATGCTATTATTGCTCTTTTGATCCAACTTTAGCGTTAATCCGTAGCTGTTATTATTAAACATATTTAATACCTCCCCAATATTAGGACATTTTCTCCATACAATTAAAATGTCATCGACATATCGGGTGTACAGAAGGATGTTATGCCTGATGTTTTTTAATGACCACTCCTCCAATTGTCGTAGTACTAATTCACAATGATCCCCTGACATGGGGCTACCCATGGGTACTCCACATTTTTGGATGTAGGTATGTTTGTTAAATCGAAACAGGACGAATAACATAATAAGTGAATAAGCTCTAATATCTGCGAGTGGTATGATTGTGCATCAGGGATAGAGCTTAGAAAGTAATTTCTCAATGCGCAGAAGCAAGGTTCCAACCTTATAGAGAAAAACATGGAAATAAAATCGAAGACTGTAAGGTATTTGTCTCCATTTAAACTAATGGCCGCCAGTTTGGAGAGAAGGTCACCTGAATCTGAGATCGTGTATATGTACGAATGCAGGTGGTGTCTTAACATGTGATGTATCCGTTGTTCCAATACAAATGTTGGTGATCTGGCTTTATCGATCACCGGACGTAATTGTTGCTTGGGTTTATGCGTTTTAGCAAAGACGAACAGACATGGAGTGTCAGGAGAGCTGACTACCGCATGTCTCAGGCCAAGTGTGTTTGCAAGACCAGTGCGTGTAAACTTAGTGACATGACTTTGTAGTTTTGTTATATATGTGGCATCCGAGAGCTGACATTGTGTGTCCACTACGTATTGCTGTAATGTTTCGACGTAGGTAGATCTTTTCATGAGCACAACCGCCTTGATCTTATCAGCTTTGATCATTGTGATGTTCTGTGCTCTGAGCCAATTTCTACTTCTTTCAATGTATTGCCAAAATATATTACTCTCTGGTTGGTGTTTGTTCTTTGATAGTGAATAGTGCTTTCCATCTAAGATAATCTTTGTTGTAATCTTGGCATTTATTATTTCCAGACGATAGCAATTTTTCCATATTCGATATAACTGATAATGGTTTATGTGCAGCTGGTTGAGGCACGAACATCAGACCAAATTGGAAGGCTTTTTGGAAGTATTCAGGAGGTGCAATGTTATCCTAGCACACCATAACGTTGTCGATTTGTGGTTTGGGACGTTTCCTTTGCATTTTTTTTATCCATGTGATCTTTTTCTCATATCTACGTCGCAATCTACATCGAACGGATGTTTCTAGGTCTATGACCCTCGCATTAACATACTTCAGGATGTTGCTGTCCTGTTGATATAATTCCTTCTCTAAGTTAATGAGGAACGTCATTCTATGGTACATAAGACGTCTGGTATTTCTAATTGCTTTTCTAAGGCATAGAAATTGCACTTTTGGTAGAAGTGCGTCACAACCGTATGGTAACCTTATACGGATATCACGGCAATTTACCACAAAGCTACTTCCATCCCCATATTCATACCTTCCAATTCAGCGGTCCCATGGACATATAAGACATCCTCATTCCGCACTCTTGTGGCCAGAGCATACTCCCATTCTACACAGTTGTCTGATACCAATACAGAACTGGAACATCTCAGACAAGTAACATACAACCACGGATATGGCAGCACGTTTATCGACAAACTGGCATCCAGATATCTAAGTCAGTCATCTAACAGGGTTAACAAAGCAGAAGCAAATCGGGTGATCTTAGACTACGAACCGACACTACATCGCATATACAGAAGGATCGCAAATAACTTAAACGTACTCCTGGCCTATAGAAGGAAACCCACCATTTTCCGCCTTCTCACAAACGCGAAGGACGACACTGAAGACGCTCTGGCTCCTGGGATTTACCACATCCCCCTATGTGACGAGAGGTTTGACAGATTACTAACTTACATAGGATCCACATACAGATCTCTTCAAGACTAAAAGATCACAAATATGACGTGCTAAAAGGTAACATCAATACGGCTTTAGCACGGTATGCCAGCGATCCGGGGATTTCCCCCGTTGGGACCAGGCCAAGCTAATACACAAGGTTTTCAACAGACAAGACATAAAAATTTTGGAGGCAGTAGAGATCTACAAGGCAAGCATGAGTGGAAACTGCATCAACACGGATGTCATTCCTGTATCAACAGTCTGGAAACGCTATCTTGACTCATAATATACGTCATACATGATACGTCATAGCCGTTTATCATTCTTTTAAAATTTAAAAGGAATCTAATATTTATAGAACGGTTTTTCCAGTTTGTATTTCCTGAAGAAGGCTGATAAATTTAGTGGCCGCAAACGTTCAATGTATAATTTTGACGTTTATTTGCTGGAAATTTTGAATTTAGGTGTGATTTGCGAATATTACAGTTCCAGTTTATGGTGAGGTTGTATTTATGTTGTTATTTTTGTTTAGTTTCAAAATTATGTTCCTAAAACTTGTTAAAGGAAAGTACGAAATAAAGATATTTTTCTAATAATAATCATAATAGCTGAAATATATTCTTTTATCTTACAAGGAGAGCCTACGGCTTTGGGGTAACGGATTTTGATGATCTTTGGTGTAGAGGTAGTACACGATGTGAGTGTACNTGCAGATTTACTTTTAGATGTATGTAGTGAATATTGGGATGGACAAGATTTGTGCAGCTTAACAGAGTCAGATAGGTAATAATTTTTATCTAAGTTTATAGCTGAGTTAAAGTTATACTTTCTTATATTATTTGAAATTTTAAATTATGCAGAAAAATAATTTGGTTCAATAATAGTAGCAATCATTCTGAGATTTTTCATAGAATAATAAATTTTACTTAGAGGAATTTTACTAAGCTCATTCCAGTATAATTACACTACAAATTAATATTTGTGATGAATTATATAACTATCTAAGACAAAATGACTTCCAACTACTTAACACTTCATTGAATAATAACAATCCACGAAACCTTTTTTTACAAGTGTTATGTCTGTAGTAAACTCCACAAACGCTTTCAACCTTTTGATTGAGACCCCCTATACAGGAAGATTGCTTGCCGTAACTGCACAAAGATCATGCACATGAGAACCGCCACTGTTTACGACCTATTGCGCAATGCCAAGGACGTGACAGATCTCAGCAGAACCCCAGGTATGTACTCCATTCCCATCAGGGACGACAGATTTCATAGGGACTTGGTTTACATTGGCTCCACCATCCGCTCAACACAAAAATGGATATGAGAACATCAAGCAGATATTAAAAATAACAGGCACACCACTGCCTTATTGACCTACATTACTGACCCTGAAATATGGGCGGACTTCCGGAACACCAGATTAATCAGACAAGCATTCTGAACTGATCCCATCCGTCACCTGGAGGCCTGGGAGATTCATAAAGCTAACAGTGGGGGCACCTGCATCAACTTCTAAGATGGTGAAACAATCGTGCAGGCATGGAGGTATTTGTTCGAGGAATTCGAACAGGGATAGTCAGAGGGGTGAAACCCGACATGCACAATTATTTACATCTCTGGCGACATCGTTACGACGTTCAGGAGGAAACACAGTCAGTCACCACCTGAAGCAGACCTTGGTGCAGGTTGAAAGCATTTGTGGAGTTTACTACGGACATAACACTTGTAAAAAAAGGTTTTGTGGATTGTTATTATATAACTATCTTAGATTTTATGGTAAAAATTTAATAATTTTAAAATGGTATAACTTTGAAGTAGAATTTGAAGATGAGTATCTTTAATTACAGTAATACCCCGAACTTACGCAATAGGTGGGGCCGAGCGGTAACCGCGTAAGTCGAATTCGCGTAAGTCGGGGTATAATTTTGCATATAAATACATACAAATAATTTTTAATTGGGGCCGGAGACTAAAGAAAACAATAATTTAGAAAAAAATGTTTAATAAAATCTTAGACAATACATATGTATAACAAATTAGNGGACGGGGCTTGAACCCGCAACCTCCGCTTGCCGTGCGGTGCGCTTGCCAGTTACGCCACTCAGACCCCGAGCGAGTCTTCGCTTCCAGAAGTATATTAGATTTAGATATAACCTTACTTGGTTAAATACATTACCGACTGGGGACGACTCCTTCGCCCACGACCATAACAGTACTCAGCCGGCTAACGTAACACCCGGCGAGGTGTATATATATATATATATATAAACATCAACTCAGCCCGAGTAGATAATAACAACACCAAACGATCGCCTAATTATCGGGCTATAATATGGCTACATTTAAATGATTGAAATAAAGTAATTTGACATTAGAGGTAGGCGTTAGGTGCCATTTCTTAATTAAATTAATAATTAATTTAATTAAGAGGGTCCGGGTGGCGTAACTGGCAAGGGCACCGCATGGCAAGCGGAGGTTGCGGGTTCAAGCCCCGTCCCGGGCCAGTTCTCTTATTCCAGAATGTTCTAAATTTATTTAATTATTTATTTATTTAATTTTAATTATTAATTTAATTAAGAGATGGTGCCTAACGCCTACCTCTAATGTCAAATTACTTTATTCCAATCATTTAAATATAGCCATATTATAGCCCGATAATTAGGCGATCGTTTGGTGTTGTTATTATCTACTCGGGCTGTGAGTTGATGTTTATATATTCATTCACAATGCTGATAATGAGACATTTCTGCAACTCATCGTAACTAGAGATAAAGTCCTGATGTTTCCTCTACAATTCACAAGTGAAGTGGAAATTAATAACTTGGAAATCACTGTCATCCCTGCATACAAGGAGATGCCACCAAGACAGGTCTGATGACAAAGTCATGTGATAACTGTTGAAAAACACTTATCACATGACTTTGGACATTGTGCACAAGGAATTCAATGCCAAGGATGCTACTATAAACAAAGAATGGCATGTGCAAATTCTGCATTGTCTGCACAAATCAGTTTGTTGCATGCAACCCAAGCTGTGGTGGAACCACAACTGGTTTCTCCTGCAGGACAGCACTTCCACACACATCTCTCTCTTCTGGTGCAAACTGAGCTGGCAACCTTGCTGCATCCCACATGCTCACCCAAACTGGCACCAAACAATTATTTCCTTTTTGGCTATACAAAACAACAACTTTCATGAACAGGTGTTCCATTGTCTACAGAGGTTGTCACTGCATCATAGCAGTCTTATGCACGGTTCCAGAAAATGCTTTTTAGGAGTGTTTCCAGCAGTTGTATCATCATTTACAGCAATGCATTGTGGCCGAGTGACATTACTTTGAAATCGGATGTGTGTATAAAATGCTTAAATGCANTCTAATTAATTATAATAATTATATTATAATTAAATTTATATTAATTAATTTTTACTAATTATTTAATATAAATTTATTAATACAAAAACTATATGATTATTTCTTCTCTTACAAATTTTAAGTTTACAAACAAGAATTGATAATACTTTTATACTTTTGTTATATTCAAACATCAAATATTGTTATGTTCACTATAGAATTCTTGACAATAAAATATCTGAAAATACATACACAATATATACATAAGTTTTTCTTTACATGGAATCAATTTTGTGGCATATTCCATATTGAAGTCTTAATTTAGTTGTTTTTGATGAAAAAATAATTAGAAATATTATATTTAAATAAATACAGTCGACCCCCTATAAGATCATAGATACGTTCCATTTTTTAGGAATCCGATTTCTTACGAGTCGTTCCAATCACAGCCTGACACGTGTGAAGTTTACGGACTACGGCTGATTGAAAGGTTTTCTTCCATAAAATTAATCGATTCCAGACTAATCTGACTCAACATTTCCAAAATACGTATATTTTTTTTGGAAATAATCCGTATAAACTATGCTACAAACAAAAAATTGTAGGATTACTTACCGAGCATGCACCATTCGACTATGCCATTGCTTAAGCTTGTTTTCGTTGTGGAGCTTGTCATCGAATGGCACTCACGTGCTTCCTGATAAATTATTTTTTTTGCGAAAGATTTGCTGAAGTTTGGAGACGTCATTAATATAAATATAATTTTTATGGACGTTAAATAATAAATGGTTTTTAGTAGGTCCGCTGCTCATTTAAACTCAATGGTTTGTGCAATATCCACTATTGGTCTAGATTCGACCAATCCTGTCGCGACACGAGTCAGCGATGATGTTTTACCGAATTATAGGGGTTTTTTTAGCACATTTGTATGAATACTCGCAATTTTTTTGCTGTGATATAGGAATCTGAACTATAGGAACTTGTGTTATAGGGGGTCGACTATATAATTTCTACAAAAATATTTAATAATATAGTTTTTTGAAATTATCTTGAAGTTATAATAGTAATTTATGAGTTTTAATTAAAAAAATTATAATATACATTTTATTTGCATTTGGAATTAATGCTGTTTTTAAGTATATTTTTTCTACTGATAATTACTTTAAAATGTTATTTACAGGAAACGCATTCTTGATTTTTATCATCGTTCAAGTTTGACAGCCTATTGCATGGCATTTGCTTATGGACCATTTGAATTGTGTTCGGATGAACAATTTTTTGACAAATATATGGAACTTTCATCAGACAGTAGTCATCTTTTTCATTCTTCAAAAACTGGATCTGTAAGGTTAGGAATTATCTTATAATTTTATTTATATACAGTATAGTCATTGTATTTCTAGACTGATGACATAAAAAAAATTGCTTACCATAAATATTAGTAGCTGATAAAGTAGTCCTTTTCTGAGGCAATACAATGACGTCAGTGGTACTTCCATATCTGGATGCATTTCTGGAAGTCATTTTCCTTAAGTTTGTTTAATTCTGTCTGTGACTCAATCTGAATTTTCTCCATCACCTGGAATCTTTGTCCCTTCAGTTTCATTTTTAGTTTTGGCTACAACAAGTCACAAAATGAGATGTCTGGCAAGTAGGGAGAATGAGACACTACATCTATGTAATTGGTAGCCAAAAATCGTTGAATTGAAAGGGTCGATGCATAGAAGCATTGTTGTGATACAGCAGCTATGTCTTGTTCTGTCTTTTGTCAGGTCTCTTCCTTCTCCCATTCTTCCATAGATGCTTTAAAACCTCAACATAGAAAGCAGCAAGAGGAACAAACTTCTTGTGAACAATTTTTTGACTTGCCTTTGGACATGGGTTTCTGAATTTTTTCATTGAATTGACTTTTGTTTAGACTCCAGGTCATAGAAATTGATTCAGCTTTCATCATCTTTAATGACATTAGAAAGAAAACTGAGGTTTAGTGCAGCATTTTGTTTGAGATCAGAGCAAAGGGTATGAACTTTTCTGCAATCCATTGCACGTTCAGTTTATTGGACAGATTTTTATGACAAGTTTCATGACTAATTTCCATTATCACACTGATTTGGATAATGTGATGAATTTTCTCTGTGATTTTCCATCATTGAACAGAATGTCAGCTGATGATGAGTATGCTAGTTGACCAACATCAAGTTGGNATACTCTCGCAATTTTTTTGCTGTGATATAGGAATCTGAACTATAGGAACTTGTGTTATAGGGGGTCGACTATATAATTTCTACAAAAATATTTAATAATATAGTTTTTTGAAATTATCTTGAAGTTATAATAGTAATTTATGAGTTTTAATTAAAAAAATTATAATATACATTTTATTTGCATTTGGAATTAATGCTGTTTTTAAGTATATTTTTTCTACTGATAATTACTTTAAAATGTTATTTACAGGAAACGCATTCTTGATTTTTATCATCGTTCAAGTTTGACAGCCTATTGCATGGCATTTGCTTATGGACCATTTGAATTGTGTTCGGATGAACAATTTTTTGACAAATATATGGAACTTTCATCAGACAGTAGTCATCTTTTTCATTCTTCAAAAACTGGATCTGTAAGGTTAGGAATTATCTTATAATTTTATTTATATACAGTATAGTCATTGTATTTCTAGACTGATGACATAAAAAAAATTGCTTACCATAAATATTAGTAGCTGATAAAGTAGTCCTTTTCTGAGGCAATACAATGACGTCAGTGGTACTTCCATATCTGGATGCATTTCTGGAAGTCATTTTCCTTAAGTTTGTTTAATTCTGTCTGTGACTCAATCTGAATTTTCTCCATCACCTGGAATCTTTGTCCCTTCAGTTTCATTTTTAGTTTTGGCTACAACAAGTCACAAAATGAGATGTCTGGCAAGTAGGGAGAATGAGACACTACATCTATGTAATTGGTAGCCAAAAATCGTTGAATTGAAAGGGTCGATGCATAGAAGCATTGTTGTGATACAGCAGCTATGTCTTGTTCTGTCTTTTGTCAGGTCTCTTCCTTCTCCCATTCTTCCATAGATGCTTTAAAACCTCAACATAGAAAGCAGCAAGAGGAACAAACTTCTTGTGAACAATTTTTTGACTTGCCTTTGGACATGGGTTTCTGAATTTTTTCATTGAATTGACTTTTGTTTAGACTCCAGGTCATAGAAATTGATTCAGCTTTCATCATCTTTAATGACATTAGAAAGAAAACTGAGGTTTAGTGCAGCATTTTGTTTGAGATCAGAGCAAAGGGTATGAACTTTTCTGCAATCCATTGCACGTTCAGTTTATTGGACAGATTTTTATGACAAGTTTCATGACTAATTTCCATTATCACACTGATTTGGATAATGTGATGAATTTTCTCTGTGATTTTCCATCATTGAACAGAATGTCAGCTGATGATGAGTATGCTAGTTGACCAACATCAAGTTGGTCAACTAGCATACTCATCATCAACTGACATTCTGTTGCCTTTAGAAAAACCACCCAAAAAGGTTGGGTTTAACCCAAAGCCTATTTTCCAAAAGCTGTCTTTAACATTTTGTAGATTTCTATATGTTTTTAGCTGTTTTTCCTAACTTAAAACCGAATTTAATGCATGCATTTCATGAAAATCTATCATGGTGTAAATCATAGAAAATATAGAATATTGTACTGTACATGTTTAAAACAAATCATGTAGTGATTCATTACTTTTCATACATGAAGCAAGATAATTTCTCTCATATTAACTTATCATATCTTGAAATTGTTATTTATAATGTCTAATTATTGAACTATAATTCAGTTTTGCATAGGAAATTCAATTTGGGAATATAATGACTACATCACAAATTAACTTAATTTTAATTATATTTAAATTATTTATATAATTAATGATATCTAATCAAACTAATTACTCTTATCATAATTTAACTTTGAAATAAAAGAAGAATGGATATAAGAAAAATTAGCATTTTTAGATGTTTTGATCTTTTGATACCTTCTTTAATTATATGATGTAAATGAAAGTATCATCTAGAAAGAATTAGTGCAAAATAAATTGCTATAAATGACAGAATTAGCAAGTGTCCTACAGAATATAAGTAAAAGAAAATCTTATAATATGAGGGTTGTAACACAAACGTCTTCTAATTGTAACACTGTGTTGAGTAATAACTGTCCACAAAAAAACCTTTATCAGTGTTGTGTTCATTACAATATCCACTTGAAGAAGACCTCGGTGGAGGTCGAAAACGTTAGTGTGTAAAGTACTATTTTATTTTTTCCGACTTTTCCAACGATTATCGACACTATTGTGTGCCGGAAATAGCCGTTCCCTAACGGGTACTTTACGCGGATTCGCATTAGTGTGCCAGGCCTGGACTTTAAGCGTGCACCGAATTAAATAATGACAGTTTGTCAATAACAAAAATCAAATATTTAATTAAACTTCTAGTAATAAACTATATACAGTATTTAGTAAAAATCAAACAATAATTTATTCAATGAAATTCAACAAGAATCAACCCGACAAAACTCAAATCAATCTATTTCTAACTTAATTCTATTCCCCTTTGGAATTCGACAAAATTCAAAGACTTAACTTATAAACAATAATTCTTATAAATTAAAGATCCTAATCGTCATCTCAATATACTAGGAACTTATTTCCTCAAATTCTCAAGACTTTCTATAATTGTCGATCCACAAATCAAATAACTTCAAAATCGCCTTGGAACTATTTGATCCTATCGGACACCTCTCTCGTTCACTGATATGAAGCTCACCAAAGCTCGTTGCTATCAGGAGTTCACCTCAGGCATCTTCACTTGACGTTCTGTTTTTATACTGTGAGGTGACGTCACAATTCTGAATGAGATCACTCCCCTCATTTACATACTTATTCGCTAACAATAAATCTTTTTCTATTTGTCTGGCAGCCTATTTTCCGACAATACTCGCTAACCTTTTACATTATTCTTTTTCACAATTTTTGGGACGTTTTTATTCTTTAAGGTTTAGCGAGTCCCTAAGTTGTGCTTGTGGGGTCTCCCCCCTTTTCGTTGCGGACTTACTTTTTTCCGCTCGGGAAGCGCAAGTGTGCGCGAGTTTTTCTACGGCGCTTTTCTTTCGTCGGTGAGTTGGTTTTTCTTCTATTTTTAAGTTCCTAAGGTGAATGGTGAGGAAACCTTTGTCCTAACAAAACATAAGCCCCAAACAAAAATATAATAAAAAGCAAAATAAAAGTAAATAAAAATAACGCTCGGACTTGGTTCCTTACAAGTGGATGTTGTAATGAACACAACACTGATAAAGGTTTTTTTGTGGACAGTTATGAGGGTTGTCCCAAAAGTAATGCACAGTTGGCTCTAACTCGAAAATATTTATTGAAGAAGATATAAGTGATTACAGGCCTTCAAAATAATCCCCTCCCTTATCAATGCATGCTTGCCAGCCACACGGAAGTGCTTGGATTCCATTCAGTGTTCCCTTCTTATTGAGCATCCGAATCTGTCAGGTCACTTCTCTTTGGAGCTCTTCCAGCATTGGAAAACACATCCCAGAAGTGGTTCCTTTAGCTTGGGGAAGAGATCGAAATCAGGTGGGCTCAGATCAGGACTATAAGCCAGGTGGCAGAGCTGTTCCCAGCCATATTTTTTGAGAAGTTTGATGATCAGTGCACTGATGCCGCCACCTTTTGTTTGCCTAGCACCTGTGTTAAAATATGATGTGCATGTGTTTTCAAGATTCCTGTCTCCACCTAAATTTTTCTTACCGTTATTCTCCAGTCTTCATTGAGCAACGTTACAATGATTGAAGCATTTGTGTTGTCAGCTGTTACAGTAAACGGCCACCCCATGCGCGGATTGTCTTCGATGGTTGTTTGACCTTCTCGAAAATTCAAGTTAAAAATGTGTGGGAGGTTAAACCTCCCACACATTTTTAACTTGGCATGAATTTTGGGCACTTTTTTACCATGCTCTGTTTTGATGAAAATATACGTATGTTGCTCTATTGCTGAAATCCAACCCGATGGACTGTTCTTGTTGTCTTTTTGAAGTATTGGCATTTTCTCTTTAAATGAATTCCACTACCATATGATACCAACGTGTTCGTAAGACTTCAATCTACACACTGATGCTTCGATCAGCTGTCTACATTGCCTATAATGCTCGTTAGAGCATGCTGTGCATTACTTTTGGGACAACCTTTGTATTTTATTAAAATCTTTATTTTAAGTTAATTGTTAGTTATTTAATATTGTATGTTTCAGTAATACAATAAAAAAGTTATTTACAACATTGTCCAATGTAATCCAACAATCATTTGGCTTTAACCTAAAAGTTGTGTTTATAGGATGTTTATATTTGTTGTTTACAACAATAATACTTTAAAAGACAGACGTTTAAATTAATTTTCTAATAATAAAATTAATTAATGACTTAAGTCTTTTTAATTCACTTCACTGAAAGAGAAGAAATATATATTTGGAGAATTAAAATATACAGGTGATCAGTATTGACTGCACAATAATCATACCAAGTGATTTCTTGTCAAAAACCAACCCAAAAAAGTGTTATCAGTTTTTTGATTGGATGTGAAATTCCAGAGATATTTACATCAAAAAGTTTAATGATGTATTTTCAGTCATTTGGAATTTTAGCTGTAAAGCATCAAACAAAATATTTCTTAGGCATCCTTGGGGTTGCTGTTAACTTGGAATAAATCAAGACCCACATACAAAAAGAAAGAATGTAATAGATTTGAAAATCTGAATGTGTGCATCAAATTAGGAGTTTGTTTGCATGCATGTATGATAGCATGTATGAAAGGTCAGAGGAAGAAACATTAGTATACCAGCATTTTAGGTTGTACTATATTTGTTAAACAATTTCATTTTATCTTGATGTCAGGTAATACTTCTTTTTTCCTGTTTTTGTGTTTTTCAGTTGTCATAGAGTGTGCAAAAGTATTGTGATGTGTACTTCTTGTTGGGGGAGTGTCATGGCTCACCTTTGGGAGCAGCAAGGCTATACAGTTAATGATACTTGACATGACATTACCTGGAGCCCCAAGTCACCTGGCATCTTGACCATCAAATGCACAAAATAAGTAAGATCATATCTATGCCAAATATAGGCAGTGAAAATGTACATTCTGTGCATACACAAGCTTTTGAGGATGTTGTATTAGCATTGATACAGGATGACCCAATGACTGTTAGCTAGACAATTATGTGACAGTTAAATGTTCATCAAAATATAATGCTGTCCATTCTACATGAGGATCTGCATTCATATCAGTTCACATGAGTGCAAAGTCTTTATCGGCAGGAATCCCAGGGAGACAAGATTAATGTGAGTAGCTGTTACAGCACCATTACTCAGATAATACTTTCATCCACCAGATTTTGTGGATTGATGAAACAAAGTTTCTTGTGAGTGTCTTTAACAGCCATAATAGCCATGTTTGGGCATTAGAAAATACCCATGCTACAGATTCACACACATACAAAGTCTATTGGGGTTGTGCATGGTATTCTTATGAGACTGTATCTTCTTCCTGAATATACGACAGCTTGAAGCTGTGTAGAGTTTTTGCACAACATCCTGCAAGATTGCTCAGATAACATATCTTTGGATCTTATTTGCACTTTATGGTGTCAGTACAATAGAGCACTGATGTATTCTTCATCAATTGTTCACCACCACTTGAAATGTCCAGTTTAATGGATTGACTGTGGTGGTCCAGTCACATGGCCTGTTAGATCATCTGATCTGAATCCTGTAATACCTCTTACGTAAGCATCTCAAAGCACTTGTTTACAAATGGCCACTAGACTCCCAGAAAGACCTAGTGGCCATAACATGTGCCATTCTGTAACATGTACAAATATTCTACAGAAAGTTGCTTGTTGCTTGCTAGATGGAGGTCATTTTGAACACTTATTACAAAATAATGTTATGTTACAAGTTAATAAATAACTTCTTCCTATAAGAGTTATTTCTGATTTGTCTCTTTGTCCAAAGTGACATTATAGACCTTTCAATCCAAACACTTCTGGAATGCCACATCCAATCAGAAAACAGATAAGTTTCTGAGATTGGTTTTCAAAAAAGAATGACATAGTATGACTATTGTGCGGTTGATTCTGATCATTCCATGTATATTTTATTATAAAAAAATTATTTAAAAACTTTTCTAACTTTAACTTTTTTCTTGCTAAAAACTCACAACTCACCACACTTATATATCAAACACGTACACTGAACCAATATAATGTGTGGTACGATCAACGAAACAAAAAACAAACGTTTTCAAACCTCTTCTAGGTTCTTCCTCAGGTTCCTTTTAAAGAGGAGATGATCTTGTCGATGGCCTGGCAAGAGTGGATACATAACACGCTTTAACTGCTCGTTATTTCCGAGCAAGCGGACATGTCACGCATGCGTGATGGATAATTTAAAAGAAATGTTCGATCTTAAGAAAGCAATTATTTAAACAACATTCGTTAATGACTTTCGTTGACGGCAGTCATTAATTTGAACAGCATGCGCGATGCATCTTTTAAAAAAGAACTGTTCGATCGCAAGAACGAAGTTATTTGAAATATCAAATTTACGAGCTAAAATCTAAAGGAACCTGAGGAAGAACCTAGAAGAGGTTCGAAAAGGTTTGTTTTTTGTTTCGTCGATGGTACCACACATTATATTGGTTCAGTGTACGTGTTTTTTCTTGCTGTTCATTAAACAAGGTAGTATGCATTTGTTACCTTGGAAATTCCACTATCCAAGCTTTGATGTTTAACTTGAACCATTTGACATTTTTCAAATAATACAGTAGCTGATTTTAGTAATTAATTGTTAATGAAACATTGCAAATACTGCTACAAATTACAAACATTTGACCAGCAAATTAGTACTAAATTTGAGTTTATTTCTTTTCTTTATTTCTCCAGTTAGACCTTACTTAGTCTGTTTCTTGTTATAAAAGTCTATACTGCTTATTATCAGAAATGTTTTTCAGTCATCTTGTTTCACTATCAGCTGATAATGCAGTGAAATGGAATTGTTTGAAAACATTACTGATAATGGAATCTTAATTTGTTTCAAAAACTTTTATGCTTAGTTAAAGTTTTAATTGCTGAAGGCAAGTACTATTCCTTTGGAATTGTTTTTATTAAAATAATAAAATGGAATCAGAATGGTATCATTATTTTTTTTGATTTCAGGATAATTTAATAATAGATAGCAGCAATATTAATTTATTTTTGAAATCTATAAAATATCTGATTATTTTATTAAATATTTATAATATTGATAGGTTTATAAATTTTCACGTATTCTATTTTCTTTTAAAATACATTAGTAAATTTATTTTAGTAATTTTTTAATTATTAGATCATGGGACAGACAATCTTTAGAAGGCAAAGGTAAAACTATACTTAGTCGACATTTAAGCACCGATTCCATCCTGTTAAAAACTCATGAAGATGATGATAGTTCTGCACAAATTGAAAACTGCCTTCAACAGATTGGTAATGAAATCTTTATTGGAATGGTAACCATGCAATATCAAGCATGTAGGGTAAGCTTTATTTATTTAATTTTTAAATAATTTTTTAAACTATCAAAAAATGAATTATTATTTATGTTATTTATTTGATAGTGTCAATTAATAAAACTGAATTTAATCATACTTTCCATTTTATTAGAAAAAAAACATGTAAAGTATTACTTAATAGTTTTATAGCAGTGTAAATAAATTGTCATTAAGCAACTTAAAACTTGTGTTAAAAATTAATAATAAAAATACTGTATAAAAGGTAAACTAATGAAAAATAAAAATCTCATATTATTTATTTCTTATTAAATAATTTAAATCTTATTATTTTTTTATATTTCTTCAATGAAATATCATCATGTTTATGCCACTAATACATTTTTATCTCTTCATTTACAATACAGATAAAGTTTTAATTTTTCGTTATACTAGTTGTGTTACCCTCGTTGATGGGAGATATTTATTTGGTGAAATTATATTTACTTACCTAAAGAGTATATCTGCAGAGAATTGTGTTACAGATTCATTATATTCCTGTTAAAGGTGCGGAATATTTTCTAGATAAATTTATTTAATAACCTCCCGATATACAACATTTCTTGTTTTATCATCAGGAGAACAAATGAACAGATTTTCAGCTACTAATATGTGAGCACACAACATAGAGTTGACCATGTGAAAAGCAACTGCATCCCAAGTCAAGTCCCACAACTCTCGGGCTTTGGCCTTGAGACTTGTTAATGGTCATTGCAAAGCATTGACCATCTGGAAATTGTAGGCGTTTACATTTGAATAGGTAGTTTATCGGAATTTAATGGTATGCTGTTAAAAGACATATCTATCCTTCAATTTTGAATGTTGGCATGAAATTTCTTTCAAGTATTTCAGTGGCACCAAAACTTGTCATTTGGAAGACCCTATTGTGCTTTAAAAAATGTTTAGTCAGGATGAGTCCCATTTAATAGTGATAGAAAAGTTCAGGAGCAAGTACAATATCCAGTTTAACTTTGTCAGAAGAGCAGCAAATCTCCTGTGATTCATTCTTCCACTTCATAGCCCTGCAATAATCACATATTTTATCTATAGACCTAATATTAGCTGATGATAAATAGTCTAAGAGTCTCATAAATGAAAGCACTTCAGAGGTTTTTGTGCCAAGGAATTGTTGTTTTTGAGTAGGCATAATCTTTGCTCACACAAACAAATAAAACTCATGCAAATACAGCTAGGCTTGATGAATTGTGAACACAATACATAATGATTCGAAAACCCACCATATGTATGTACATGTGCTGCCATTTAGCATGATGATGTCACTTTTTTAATGCCTTGAAGATTTTGCTAATTAACTAATTATAATTTAATGTCAGTTCTTCAAATATAATAGTAAACTTCAATAATACACTTATAGATAATGCCTTGACAAGAAGTACTAATTTATGTGTCGCCATCTAGTGAAGAGAGAGACAAATAGACAGATAGAAATCCATTGCAGTTTTATTTAATTAATAATAAAATCTGTATGTTTTGTTAGTGGTAAACATTCTGGGGATCATAAAGATGCTACAGTTAAAATTTTGTAACAATTGGTTCAGTAGTATTTGCGGTAAATTGGAATAAAACAAAAAATACATTGTCTCTCTATATAGTAGTATAGATTAATAAAATAAATTAAAATTTTCTATTTGTTGAAAGAAAATTTTTTTAATATGGATTCATAATTATTAAATTATTATATAAATAACTAAAAGTTCTATTCATAGAATAATAATTCAATTATATAATTTTTATTTAGGATTTTGTGCAGTTAATAGAACAGTTAGACAAAGCTTGTATTCGATTTGTTCATTTTTCCAAAGAAAATGAATTGCGAAGCAGAGTAAGTTCTTAATTTTAATTTTTATAATTGTGCTGTGCTGTACAAATACTTGCATGAATGTGAATATGTATAAATATATACATGTTTTGATATGTAAATGAATGTGTGCATAAATTGTGCCTCTATTTTGCCTATTATTAATTAAATATGTTTAATGCAATATTATTTATGGTTTTACGATGTCTACTTTAAATTTCCAATGAAATTATATATAAATAAATAATTACTATAAACGAAGAATTGAATAAAAGATATATATCTCACAAACTGGGTTTGTATAAATATATCACTCAATAAAACCAACATTAGCACATAAGAATAAAAAAAACAATCTCTCGCACAACTCCTGGAAAGATAAATCAACACAAAAAATCCCTTTTTAATATCCCAGTATGAACAAATTTAAACAAAACAAACATTTTCGACCATAAACTTGGTTTTCATCAGGCTAATGGCCAGTATAAATTCAAAACCGGAAATTCAAACACAGTGCTTATAAATTATTTTTAAATTCCAAAATATTTAAATCTTGGAAAACAGTTTTTACTGTACATGTTAATAAAGTGATAAAAATATCTTTACATCCACACACACAAATAATAAGATGTAAATACTGGTATGGAAATGTTATCTACTAGCTAGTGTTATTCCCGTTATTTTTTTCACAGCACCACCACCATGTGTATGAAATATTAGTGGCATCCTTTGCATTAATGCAGTTGCCAATCAGGCCTGCTTTGTATATTTCTAACGCTTTCAGGTTGCAAAGGTGTTGAACTTGATCAGACATTTTTACCAATCTGGCCTTTTGGAGGTTGGCTTGTATCTCAGGGCCAGTAGCATAGGCCACTAGGATGGTGGTATGTGTCTGGTTGGCAATATCATACCCGCGTTCTTGTAACCTTTTATTTAGAGAGTGCTTCATGGATCCGATGTAAACTAGATCTCACTGGAATCTGTGGTCTCTGAGATAAACCATATAGACGCCCGGTGCCCAACTTTCTTTTGTCTTGCCCTTGTCATTGTGTAACAGCCCATAAACTGTGTTAGATCTCTTATATGCGATCTTTGTGTCTTTATGTGTTGCAGTTTTCTTATAAATGGATCTTAGGTGCTGGTTGTATTGCACCACAGTGCGTGATTGGTTACTGTTATGATTATGTGTGTTATAAGGCTTTACCTGTGAGGTATGAGTGTGGTCTGCCACTAGCAAGTTGGCGTATTTGCTCAATAAATTACGTATCATGCTTCTACTGTATACGCGCTTTACCACTGTTTTCAATGCACCTTAATTCAGTCACAATATCATCCCATCTAGCATGGTGGGTGTAAGCCCTTCTAGTTAGGGCTCAGAATGCAGAGATCTTGTAAGAAAAAGAGTGTGCAGAGTTTGATGGAATAAATATTGGTATGTAGCTATGTTTGTAATATATGCTGGTTTGCACTCTGTGTGCATCAAGGCGAATGCTGACATCCAGGAAATGCGCATTTGTGTCACTCTTCTGCTCCATCTTGATAGTATGGCCATATGGGTATTTGTTCATTGAATTTATGAAATCATTTATGTTGGGCTCAGCCTTCCAAAGAATGACAATGTCATCCACATACCTTTTATAAAGTAGGATGTTAGGTAGGAATAGAGGTATGATCTTTTGCTCCAATTGTTGAACAACCAATTTGCACACGTTTCCTGAGATGGGGCTGCCCATAGGTACTCTTTGCTTTTGTAAATATGTACAGTTATTGAATCAGAAGAACGAGGTATAGTGTGAGATTCTGAACACCCCCTTTTTTTAATTAGAAATTGATGTCAAATCCATAAATGTTAGAAATAATATTTCTGATTTTAAATGAAAGAATTTTAAGTTAAATTCTTTCATTTAAACTCAACGAAGGAAACTGGTAAAATTCACTTCCTTCTCAACGGAAGTTCTACATCCTTTTTGTTTTTCCTTATCTTCATAAATTTTGAGTCACATACAGTCCAGTTACCCCTCTGTAAACCCCCACTCTTCCTAAACACGTGGAAATAATACAATTCTCTCATTGGAGAATTGTATTGGAGAAAATCATCAAAAAAGAGGATTTTTTAGTATCATTCAAGGAGTACGCCACAAAATTCATATGAGAAGGGCGTATTCCATACCCACTCCTCACAGCCAACGCCCATAATCGACTCCTAAGTTCATACAAAGTTTATTTCTAATTTCCAAAGTTAAAGAAAATGTTTATTGAAGTGCCGCCGAAGAATTAACCAAAGATAAGAACATTTGCATCGATCTGAAATTAAGAAGATGATAAAAGAATATACTTTGAGGTTGTATGATTTTAACTGGAAATGTGATCTCTCTCTCCGCAAGATTATAGATATATATTGAAGGTCGAATTTGTAAATGTTGTTGTTTTATTAAATTATCAATATTTTTATCTTTAAGTAAAGTCTCATAATGTCTGAATCAAAATATTTCATCTTCTCCATATTGATTCATAAATGCATGTTAATCCGCATGTAAAATAACTGATTAACTGGTGTCTAGGATTCTGACGTTGGATAGAGACTTCACAGTCAATATCCTTTTTATTTAAAGCCCTCCTAAAAGAATAAGTGAGCCAATCTAACGACTGTGTGTCAGTAAGTGACATAAGCACTCTTATGCCCCTGATTTCTCACATATGATGTGAGATTCAAAGTTTAGTTAATTTATAAAAGAATTTTATTCCTTAACTACAAAATTGAAATATAGAGTTCGTGGGAATTTTATGTCTTAATATAAACATTCTCACGAGGAATCCGTGCATAGTTTACACTTACAGGCAAAATTCGTCATATTGTTGTCATTCTAACACCATTTTTAACCCCACACTTGCTAAAACCCTTGATCACCTGACTAATTTTCCCACCACAAAAGGTATAAAAGCTCTTTTCCTTCCCCTCTTGGGGAGTCGCCAATCGCCGAAGTCAAAACGTCAAAGTCGGACATTGTCTTCCCCATCGCAGACCTACAGCACCGTAGAACCTTATGCCAAACCCCAAATCCATTTGGACGATATTACGGAAGAATATCCCACTGATATATGCAAAGAGGTATGAATGCATATTTGTAAACTCTCTCTCTCCGCCATCCGTGCAGTAGCAGGATATGTTGTTATAACGGAACTTAGAGTAATTAGGTTTGTAAATTTTTTCCGTAGATGCTTGTAATAAACTCTTGTTTTGTTTTAAATGGTGTCTTTACTCGACTGTGCCATCATCTTATCATCGGCCCCTCTGACTCTCTCTCCTCCACTCGCGTAATGCGTAACAGAACATAAATGCCATCCTTGACAAGAAAGTAGGTCACAGACCAACTGCCGGAAAGGAGAGGAATTCCCCCCCCCCAGCGGTTCACAATAGCATAAGAGGTGCGTCAGTTCCAATACATATTTATGATGCATACCGGCCCCTTCACGGCTTAGTAACAGATCCCTGAGTGCACAGAAGAATGGCTGTATTTTAATGGACAGGAATAGGGAGATAACATCAAAGACAGTAATGCATGCTACTTCTGTTGCCTTAACTTGTTGTAAACTATCAATGAGCTAATTGATAGTTTACAAGTTAAGGCAACAGAAGTAGCATGCATTACTTGTTATATAACAAGGGAAAATATTTGGAGTTGTGTCAAATTTGCCCTCCAGATTTTTTGCAAATTTCCATGTTTTGAAACCTATTTCTTTTAACTATTTTAATTCTTTTTTGACCTTTCTCATAAATTTTTACTTGATTAACTTACTGTAATGTAAATTATGGTGTAATTTATATCTCGTAAATTAACTGTGATCTGGAAACAAAGATTAGACAGAGACCAAGAGAGTGTAATTGTCAATGCATCAGCATGGTAAGCAGTAGTTGTGGATTTGAATCTTGCTCTATATCAATCTTTTTTCCAAAATAGTCTAAATTATATTATACTTTTGTTCACTTTGGATGTTCTTGCGAATTACGACTTGTTATACTGAGAGAAGAGAAACCCACAATTTCCAATTAAAATATATTTACTACAAGTTAAAGTAAATATATTTTAATTGGAAATTGTGGGTTCCTCTTCCCTCAGTATAACCAGTCCTAGTTCACAAGAACATTCAAAATGGACAAAGTATAATATAAGTACAGTAGAGTGTCGGTTATCCAAAACGTCGGTTAACTAAAAGCATTCCAATCGGCAAATTTAAATTTTCGCTAGTGCTGTGGCGCTGCAATCTTTGGCTATATCTTGGGCTACTCCAATATTTTTTTGTTGGTGTGTGTGTTTTAGCTGGCAGCACTGGTACTTTTGTGTAGTGTTTTTCTGGGGACTGTGTGTCATGCTGAATCGAATGTTTTTGATACTAGATTAACTTCTAAAGTATAAATTTTTGGTTTTTATATTTTTCAAGATATTTATTTTGTTTGTAAAAAATAAAGAAATAAGTTTTAATGATACAGTAGCTACAATTATTATTTTAAAAAGTTTACGTTAGGCTTAACATTGACGAAAATTCAACGTGAAGCGACACGCAACGGAGAGAAATTTCAATATCGGATATTTTTTGTACATTATCAGTTATCCGAAAAATAAGTTATCCGAAGAACACCAGTTCCCAATTGATTCAGATAAACGACGCTCTACTGTAATTAAAGACAAGAAGCACATATCAATAATAGTCTAAATTAATTTATTTCTGATTTTTAAGTTTTATACAAGATAATGGTATAACTGACTATCTTTAATCTGAAACAACACTGTGGCCATTGGCCTTTTCCAAGTGTCAAAACAAAGTACACAATATCTATATAAATAATTAACCAACTTCTAGCCTGATAGTTAACATGTTTCTATCATTTGATTATTAGTTAATGGATTAGTTTAAGTTTGAAATTTCTGTTCTTTTGAAAAGAAAAAAATTCTTCATTAAATTACTAAAATTTCATTAATAGTAGGATAAAATATTTTAAAGCATTTTTTAGTAAAAAAAAGGCAGCTTTTTAAATTAAATTACAGTAGAATTCTGATTATTTGAATGCCAATTAACTGAATGTCCAATTACCTGAACCACCATTTGCCCTCCTTTCTCCCACTAATGTCAGACAGAAATTCTCTTATGTCATGCACCTATTTGCTGTGACAGATCCAAATAATCAGTATGATGCTACTTGTGCATTGATGAGTAAATCAATATCATACTTGTAAAATATGGTGCTCCTACTCTGTAATTTCATCTTTACATGCTAATCCACCTAATCCACTTATCTAAAGTTTCAATTACCCAAATCATCTGCAGAATGAATCAATTTGAATAATTGGAGCTCTATTGTAGTTTTATTTTTATATGAATTTATAATTTGAAATGTTTCTGTTATGTATATTTTATGTAGATTAACATGAAATAAATTTTTACAGGTTTTCTCAGAAAAAATGGGACTGGAATCTGGTTGGAATTGCCATATTTCTCTGCTTGGTGAGGGAACAAGGTAGATAATTTTTAAAATAATATATAAAACAAATGATTTATTTGTTTAGTAGTTTAACAGGAATTTAAATAAGTTATGAACAATACTTATTTAGAACAGAAAATGATGGTTCAACAAATCAGCAAACATCATCTCAAACAAAATCTAAAATTGCTGGATTACATTATAAAATAGCATCATCTGAGAATGTGCAAGAAACTTCAAATGATTGCATAGGTACTAAAGTAAGTGCATTGTAACAGTGCATTTTGATAAAATTTAATTTATCAAAATACTTAAAATAGAAATAGCTGAAATACTTACTGAAGTAATATAAACAATTGAATACTGTATTCAATGATATTTTCCTTTGAATTTTTGTTGTAATATTTTATTAAATATTTAAAATGTTTTGTAAATCATTCTGTGTAATCTATGTTATTGAAAGTACTCATTAATTAACTTTTTCAGTTTTAACATTTCAAAATTTTTATTTAAGAAGTTTTTAAAAATATTTTAATTTCAACACTAACAAGGGACCTTACAGTCTTGGAAATTCAGTTTGGGATAAAATAAAATTATTTATGATTTAATTGATAATATTTTTAGGTCATTAACTTTATTTAAAAGTTGTTATAATTTTTAAAACAATTTAAAAAATAAAAAAAAAGTTAGCCAAAGCTAGGATCAAACATATATCGCCCACGTTGTAAGCGAGTTCGCTACAGACTAAGCCATTTCACTGTGCTACCATATTGTAAAATTGACCGGTATATGAGCTGTGCTTAAAACTTTAGAGCCCTTTTTCTCGGAATCTTCTGGCTAGTGCGCTTTACAATTCTTCTGGGTGGACGTCCTTGAGGTATACTAATAACCTGCAAAGTCTCATCCTGAACTGAATTTCCGAGACAGTAAGGTCATCTTGTAAGTTTTAAATAAGACTTTAGTTTTAACTAGATAAAGTGTCATAGTTTTATTAGTTAATAATTATTTATGTCCAATAATTTATTAGACTATAAAGTTTAATATTAAGCAATTACAATAATTTAATAAAATTTGACTCTTTTTGTTGAATTCTGAAATAATTTTTGTCCAGGTTTCTCATTATGATAATTGCTAGATTTAATTATGTAATATATGCTGTTACTGGTTCAGAAAGACTTAAACCAAGATTGGAAATATAATTCTTAAGCATTGATTATATGCACAAAAAATAAAAATATGCATAAAAGTATGGAAAATTTCATACAACAATTAATAAAATTACCAGTGAATTTGCATAAAAACGTTGTTTAATTAATTAAAATGATACACATTTTTTACATATCTTTAGGGTTTTACTTTGTTTATAATTTAAAATATAATAAAATACAAGTATCCCTCATATAACATGGCATTCTTACAACATGGTTTCGCTCTAACATGATTTAAGACTTGGAGACACCCTTGTACAAAACATCACAATTTTTAAGTGAAAACACTGTTATTAGATACTTTTTATTCAAGTAAGCATTCATGTTGGCTCATATTTGCCCATGGATTTTAAAATAATGAAATTTTCTATGTTTTAAATAATTATCTCAAACTGTATTGGAACTTTAGAAAATCAAGATTACAATTTAAATACCTACATAAATACAGATACTTGAAAGTTAAATATTGCAGGTATCTGTATTTATATAATAGTGGCTGAAGAGAGTCTAGCAAAGACCAAAATGCATACCATAAATAAAATTAGTCTTTTTTTTTTTTTCTTCTTCTTCTTCTTGCAATCTTGATTTTCTATTGCTTTGATACAGTTTTATAAGCCTTGTAAATCTCCACCAATTGGTAATTTAAGATAATTATTTAAGTTATTACAGGCAAGAAGCTTACAACTATTTTCAATGTTGTTTCTTGCCTTTCACACAATTTTCATTAATGAGAACTGATTGTACAAAATTTTTTATTGTTGCTTGTTCTAATTTCCTATTCTAGCTTTACTAAAACCAGGTGTTGCTGTCATTGGTGATGGTGCTCTAAATGAACCCAAAAGACTGTCACTGTGTTTTGTTTTTGGAGATTAAATTAAAAGCTACTGCATTAAAAGATTAAATTTTTAAAGATCTCTTAGGCAAATGCAAGCAAATGAAAATATCAGATTTTATGGGGAAAAAACTAGAGAAAAATCAAGATGTTGCTGATACTTCAGATTAAGATCATCAGAAAAACTTGGAAGATGATGATATTTTGCCAAAATGAAAACATCCTTATTTAGCACAGAAAAAAAAACTAATGTGCAATACTTTTGATTATGATTGTTAGTTAATTATTTATTGCTTTAATAAACATTTTTTTAATTACAAAAAAGAATAGTATACTTTTGCTAACTTTTTGAACCTAACCCTGTTTTGTACTAGTCCTTTATTTTGTATAGCACAAATTTGCATAATACAGCATTTTTTTGGAACCTAATTACCATGTTATACAGGGGATATCTGTATTTACTTACATCTTAAATTATTGTGACTGTAACATGCTAATATTTTATTTAAATTTTGAACAGAAAACTTATGGCACTAGTCTGTCAATAATCTCTTATACACAAAAAAAAATCTCTACCTCTATACATGACACTTGCATAGTTATGATGCAGCATCTGGTTTGGGGAAATGTCCACAGCAAAACCTAGATTTTCTTTTTGTAAGAATGGCAGAAATTGTTCTTAAAGCATTGTAGGTAGAATTTTTATCAAGAAGACTTAAACTTTTCCACAGATTTAACTTCTGAAAGATCTAGAGTTTATAATATTTTTTCTTTTGTAAATCAAATTCTGTTTTTGAAGAAACAGTCCCTTTTCTTCTAAACTGTCTATGTATTTTGCAGAGAATTTAGGGAAAGAGAAGGTGTTCCTCTTTTCAAACTTTCTATGGATTTTGTACTGATTCAAGAGGAAGGGGAAGTCTTCCTGTCTGTTCCTTTTACTGTTCTATTCTGATTAAAAAATTAACAAAAATGTTATATACTGAAGATACTAGTCTATCCACATCAGAAAAACTGCTCCTAATGATTTCTATAAATCAGTGCATGAGCCAGACAAGTCAGGTGCATTAAATTTAGATTAAAAAATTTTTTTTAGTGCACTAGCTGCTTTACCATCTCTTCAGAACTGTCTGTCACAAGCAGCAACACTTTATGATGCTGGATCTTTTCTGACCACAGAATATCTCATTCATAAAGCCTCATTCACAAATCAAGCTACAGTTTCATAATTTATTTCTTTAAGTGTAGGGTAACTTTTTTACAGTGTTTTTAGGATTCTAACTATTGCATTAGCAACACATTATCAATAGCATCTGTTGTTTCATCCACCAGTATCCAAATATCATTATTTCCAATATCCTTAAAAATTTCATTTAAAAACTTTTCATAGATGTTTAGCAGATGTTTAAAAACAATTTCCATCTGTTTTTAAATGTTTTTACATAATGAGGAGAACAAGAAGCATGAAATAAAAGATCAACTCCACCCATAAAGACTGCTTTATTCCTGAGATTGTGAAATAGAGGCAGGATGTGAAGACCTTTGTTGCTTCTTTTGATTTGTGAATATATTTATTGTCCTAGGCCATTTTATTAATTTTTGTATTAATTGAAATATTTTTTAGGGAACATTTCAATTTTAGTATTTCACAAGGAATGCTCATCATTAAGTTTATTTCATGAAATTCTTGCTGCAAGCATTGTTTCAAATAGGTCTTCATTGAAAGGATCATGTTCCTGTGTTTTTGAAGACTCACTGCATTTCTGGTGTTTTCTTATATCTGTCATAGCATCTTTTATTATATTCTTTTGACATCTGCTACTGTACTAGAAATCTTTTGGAGCAACCTGTTGTCCACTGATAAGTCAGACAAAAATATGGTGGTACCATCAGTGCAATCTTCATTAAGATCTTTTACCCATTGTTACATTAAAACATTTTTAGAAATCTCTTTTTCCATTATTAAATAAATATTAATAGTATTCACAACAAATCAGGACGTATTTACAGATATACACTTCAGCAAGCTTAATATTATTCGGAAAACAAAAACGAAACTGTATTAATGACAAGTGGTCTCTGGTAACAAGAAAAAGTACTTAGCTAACAATATCAAAAAGAAATAACAACAACCAACTATATGGGATCCATCTGCAGGTTTTCCCTGAACCTAGAAAGAAAATTTCTTAGTTTATATGTTATCTTCCCTAGATTGATAATTGACAAAGTTATTAGTTTTTATTCCATTCTTTATTAACTAATCCAATTTATTAGAGAATTTTGAGAATTTGAAAAATAAGTTTCATAGCAATGCAAAATGTGATTGCTGGGCAATTTGAAACATTTAAATTTTGTGCACTCATCTATAATTGGATGGCAGACTGATATTTTTGTGTTTTATACACAAAAATAATAAACTACAGTCAAGACCTTGTGCTGCAAATGTTCCAATTTTATGCATCCAAAGCTGGGGAAATTGGAATTCTGGGAAATGATCTGATTGGAAATTTATCATTCATATATCATGACTAACTAACCAAATATTTTAAACAATTTATCAAGCCAGTGTGTCTGCAAATTATTGTTTTCAAAATATTCTTGGAAATCCTGGTTTTTAAAAACAATTTTTTCCTAGTCACTGGAGCTCTGCTAAATTTCCCTAACCCCACTTAAGAACAACGGCTATGACCAATTCAACGAGTTATTGAATTTGAGGGACCACACACTAAAATTAGTGACAATGATGTTTAGGGTATGGGCCCCCTAAAGATTGGTAGATGTCTGATTAGAATCTCATGTAATACTTGCAGTAAACATTAGGTTTTTCTTCTTTTCGTCTTAGCAAAAAACATGCAATATTTCAAAATTTGGACAACAATAAAATGTTGATCAACAGTTTGGAAAGCTAAAATCTTAGTAAATATACACAAAACTATCAATATGAAATATGCATTTATGTGCACATAAAATTTGGCTTATTACCTGTTATAATAAGCACAAAACAATGAAATGAATTTCAAGAAGATGCAGGAAAGGAAAAAACAAGTACATGAATTAAAATACAATGCTTGAAAATTGTAATTAATATCTCATTTGTTCTATCTATTGTTTGAAACATTTATCACATAATTTATAAATTGAATATTATTGAATTTAAAAACTTTTTTTCAGCCCGCTAGATGTGTAAGTGCACCAAGTTTAATAAACCTAGATATTACCACTGTAAAATTTGAAGATGAAATTAGTATGTATTCAAAAAGTGAAGACTCAATGTCTGATACACATTCAGCAACCTCTAGGTATTTACTTTTCACATTAACTTTTCACATTTATTAAATTAAAAGTTTATTAATTTTTTAATTTTATAAATTAATTTTAGCACTATTATTATTATTACTATTACTAAATTTTTTCATTATCTTCAAATAATTCATATTGAATGGCTTTATATGAAAAGCTAACCTTCAAAAAGCTTATTACCGTATATTTGCACAGATAAGAAGATAGTTTAATCATAAAAAAGACCCCCAAAATCCAGGGTCATCTTATAGGACAGATACAAAAAAAAAATTGAAATTATATAAATTAAAACCCTTATAAAAAAACTGACAAACTGTAATTATTTACTGGTAGAAAGTAGCGTGTGACCACAAAATAGAATAGCCCATATGACGTTTTGCTGAATAGTCAAGGTCATTGACCAAATCAGTGTGAATGTTTGCAACAATCGCAAGGCAGTGCTGCATGCCAGATGCAAGAAAATAAAATTTGAAGTTGTTTCAAAAAATTGGACATACAGTAGAGCCTCAATTATCTGACTCAATTGGGGACTGGGATTGGTCGGATAATTGAAAAGTCGGATAACCGAAAAGTATGAAAAAATCCATTATTAGTGTAGTATATTATTATATCCCATGTAATTTGTATATTAGTATATCGCTATTAACCTACACGAAGTAGGTTAATAGCGATATACTAATTAGTATATCATAGATATACTAATTAGTATATAATAGCGATATACTAACAAAAATTTTTTAAAATAATAATCGTCGCTATTATATTAGAAAATTAAGCCTCGTTTAAATACTGGCTCCCTTTCATGGTCGAATGAGTGTTGCCAGCTAAAACACGTAAAAATAATTTTAAAGTAGCCAAGACATAGCCAAATATTGTAGCGCCACATCGCTAGCGGACATTTGAAATTTGCCGACTAGGACGGTCGGTTAACCAAGGTGTCGGTTAATCGGGGGTCGGATAATTGAGGCTCTACTGTAATTCTGTATATGCTATACAGTGTTATTATGTAGATGATGATCGCTGATCTGAACTAAATTCATAGGCCTTTGATAGTTTGGGGGTTGTCTTATAGGACAGATATATGCTAAAACTATAAAACTTTGACGAAAATTTATACTTTGTCTTATCTGAAGGTCGTCCTATCTGCACAGATATACGGTAAATTAAAATTGCTTTATAGATATCAAAATTTTTACTTAATGTTGTAAAATTACTACCATTATAAAAAAAATAAGAATGTTAATTTTATTTTTATAATAATTTCTATACAAAATCCAGCTGAACATTAGAAAATATATGATGTGCAAATATAAACATCTTAAACTTGATAGCTATATATTAAAGTTAAATGATTGCTGAATTATTAATGATTGTCAATTGCTGGATCGTCAGTTACACTATGCAGATGAAGGTCCTGGTAATGTAATTGGAAATGTGACTGCACACTAAGCAGGAGTTGTGGGTTCGAGTTCCATTTCAGGCAGATTCTTTTCTCCCAGAATCTTCTAAATTAATTATTAAAACATTAATTTAATTATAATTATTAAATTTAGCAAGAGATGGCACATAACATTTATCTCTAGTGCCAAATTACTTAGCATTTAATTAATAATAGTAGTAATATAGTCAGATATAATCCATCAATCGTTTGGCTTTAATATGTGATGTGTCTATAAGTAAATGTCATTCATTCATTCATTATTTTTCTGAAGAAAAACTAATTATCAGAATAGTTTCAAAATTTGCATTGATGACAGCATTGGTGTTTGTCAAGATATAAGTATAAAATTATTTAGTTAAAACCAACAGTAGAAGATTGTACATTAAATTAATTTCCCAAAAAACACTTAAATTATAGAGAACACACATTTTTTTGTATAACAGATTTACAAATGGCTAGAATCAATATATTTTTGCCTCACAGGAACACAAAATCATATAGCATAGTTGACTTTCTTTTTACAACTTTTTTAAAAGTTGTAAAAAAATAATAAATATAAAAAGGAAACACTTTTCCTGTCTTACCTGATAGAAAACATTTTATAAATTCATTTGTACAGTTGACCCCCCCTATAACACGGTAGATACGTTCCGGTTTTTATGAATTCATTTTCTACGAGTCCTTAAATACATGAGCCAATCACAGCCCAGCACGTATGCAGTTTATGGACTACAGCTGTTTGAAAGGTTTCTTCCATAAAATTAATCAATTCTAGACTAATTCGACTCAACATTTCCAAAATACATGTAATTTTTTGGGAATAATCCATATAAACTATGCTATAAACAAAAAATTGTAGGATTACTTACCAAGTGTGCACCGTTCGACGACGCCGCTGCTTAAGCTTGTTTTCGTTGTGGAGCTTGTCATCGAATTGCACTCGCATGCTTCCTGATAAGTTATTTTTTTTGTGAAAAATTTGCTGAAGTTTGGAGACATCATTAATATAAATATAATTTTTGTGGACATTAAATAATAAATGGTTTTTAGTAGGTCCGCTGCTCGTTTAAACTGAACGGTTTGTACAATATTCACTATTGATCTAGATTCGAACAAATTCCTGTCGCGACATGAGTCGGCAATGATGTTTTACCGAATTATAGGAGGTTTTTTTGCATGTTTGTATGAATACTGTCACAATTTTTTTGCCATGATATAGGAATCTGAACTATAGGAACCCGTGTTATAGGAGGGTCTATTGTACTTTCTTTTAAGAGATTGCCATCTTTTAAAATTTGCAGTTCTTAATATATTTTTTAAGTTATGCATTTTATAAATTGTAGCTATAATTTATTGGATAGCACAATTTTATTTAAGAAAAAGTAGAAATGAATTTATAAAACACATATTGTGTCTGTTAGTTAAGTACATTGTATCTGTTTATTAAATTTTACTTATAAATAAAAAAAATTTAATAAACTAAACTTTTATGTGCACATAAAATTTGGCTTATTTCAAACTTAATAAATTTTATGTAATTTAATTTTAATATAATTTTAATAAATATTTACTATCCTTATTTAGAGAGTTAAATACCTAAATATTGTCATTATTTAAATAATAATAATAATTTAATTTTCTCATTAGCTATAAATTCATTTGAATAGTGAAATAAAACAATTTTATTGTAAACAAATATTACATTATATATTGTATTTATTTATTTGTTTGTTTTGCATTAATTATATTATTTTTGAATATATAAATATAGGGATCAAATGTTACCACAGTGCATATCAGATCATTCTCCCCGATTAATTAGTAGTGATATGACTAATAAAAAACTGTTGACTCTTGATATGTCTCATCAGTTGGAAGATAAATATTCTCTTGAAGATGAACCAGAAGGAAATCTTTCACATTCTCCAAGTCATGTGACAGAAAGTACTGAACAAAGTGCACCAGTAACATTTGATATGTCTAATAGAGTAAGTTTTTCATTTTACAGTTTAGCAAAACAAATAACAACTCTCAATGAATATCTTGCATGATTAACATGAGTATTTCTTTAAAAACTTATTGCTATTAGCATTTAAATCACATTTAAATGATGTTAATATATAAAATAAAAATAGTATATACAAAAGATACAATAAAAATATATAAAATGTATAAAATAAAGCATGCAATGTAAAGTTTTGCAAAGTTTTTAAATAAATTAGTACGAAAAAATGTAATTTTTATTGTATTGGGTTGTAACATAAATCTGTAGTGTTTTATGCTAATTTTTTATTCTCAACCAAAAAACAGTTACAAATTGTACAGATGTACTGTACAGACTACTATCCTCCCTCATTATTCATAACATTCCTAACTTTTGGACATTTTTTTTAATTTTTCTGCAGTGAACTGAAATGATTGGAGGCAAAGAATTCCAATGTTTAAACTCTCATCATTGCCAACAGAAAGGCCATTTCTTTCTGTTCTGTGTCAAAATTGCTAATTTTTTCCACTTGACATTTTAAACTTCTAACCTAAAAAATGGGCATGTATATGAAAAACTACTCTTGATTGTAGACCAAGAGGAAAACAATAGTATTGACAGCATATTCAACATGATTTAATATAATAATTATACTGAAAGGAAGTACACAGGATGTCAAAAGAGGGTGTTTTTGTAAAAGGTGCATATTGTACAAAGAATGCACAATACTTACTACAAACAATCCCGAGTGTCATGTCAGTAAGGGATATGGCCACCGTGAAGCGCGATGCAACTTTGTACATGATATGACATACTCAGAACAATATGATCCAGCTGTTGAGGCAAGTTATCCCACTCCTCTTTCAATGCATGGATGAAGGTCTCCTTGTTTGTCGGTGGACATTGTTGACCAGCAATACATCTCCCCAAGGCATCCCATACATTTTCAATTGGATTCAGGTCAGGAGAATGAAGTGGCCAGACTATGCAATGAATATCCTCACTGTCTAGACCCACCTCTACAGCCTGTGTGCGATGACAAGGTGTGTTATCATCCATAAAACGAAACTGTTCACCGATAGCACCTCAGAAAATCAAATATGTGGGAGCAGAACTTCATCAATGTACCATTGGCAAGTCATGGTCCCTTGGTCAAGCACATACAGGTCCGTGCAGTCATTGACCATTATACTGCAAGTCAGATGTTGATCCCTTTACTGAATATTTTTGGGGCGATAGGTACTGCAAACTTCACACTATATCAGTTGCCATCTAGAATCAGATGATAGACTGAATCTACTCTCATCTGAGAAGAGCATGGTAGCCCAGTCATCATTAGTCCAATTGTGATGCAGATGGTACCATTGCAAACAGGTGCTTCGGTGAACTCTCGAGAGTGGGACATACACAACAGGTTTTTGGGTCTATAGTCCTTTCTTTCGCAAATGTCTTGCAACAGTTTGATGGGATATCTTAGTTCCTGTTGCTGCCTGTAAATGACTTGCCAGTTCACTAGTTGTGCTGCATCAGTTCCTTTTTGCTAAAAGAACAGTATACTGGTCTTCTTGGAGCATTGCACTGCTAGTATGACCTCCCCCTTGCACCTACTGCACATTCCAATAGTTAGAAATGTTGCCCAAAGCCTAGAAACGATACTGTAAGCAATGCTAAATTCTTCGGCAACATCTGTTATTTGCAGCCTTTCTTCCGGCTTTCCGATTATTCTTCAATGAGTAAAATTACTAAATAATGCCTGAAAGACATGTCCAAAATTTCATTATTGTAACTCACTCCTTCCCATTCAAATTTCACATCCAGCGAGAACTGACTGCACACGCAGATTGCCTGGAATCTCTTATCTGTGCTGTCACATGACCAACACGTGCGAAATTTAAACATTTGGATATGTTTTACATAACAGAGTGCATCACGATTTCATGCATATTTCAGCAGTCTGCTACAGTTCAGTTTCTAACTGTAATTGTTGAAAATAGCATCTGTCCTTAAGTTTTGTCCACCAGTGTAGAATTGAGTTTATTCTCTAAATTTGGTTGGCAGATTTTGATGAAATTTTGCCATTTTTCATTAATTGCGATAAGGAATCCAAAAATGTAATGAGGGTCCATTTAAATTTTAAATATATGGGTCCATGACTTTATTTTTGATATTCAATGGAGTCTGTGCTCATAGTGACAATGTGTCACTATGTCTGTGCTCCCTGACATGATTGAGAATGCCTAACAGAATTTAGGGGGAAAATAAAAACAGAAAATAGGTGTGAAAAACAAACAAAACACAAGAACAAAGCAATTGATGATGATTGCTTTATTCTTGGATGGCCTCTCCATGTTGGCAAGTGCAAGGATTGTCTTTCCTGTGGCTGGCAGGTACAAGCAGTCATGAAAATGGTGGGGCTAAGGGCCAAGATACCAAGATGCCTAGAGTACCAAGATAATGGGGGTACCAAAATTCCAAAGTTGTTACATTCATAGAAAACTGACACATGAATCTGAAATATAATATGCAGTATATTAATAAAAAGAGATTTTATAATTTATAAAGTTAGATTTAACTTTATAGTTGATGTAGTACAGTACAGATATAAGTAACTTGGATCTCATTTATTCCCTCATTTTCTGGATGTTCTACTCTTTATCAATCTTGGGATAAATGAGCATGATTTCCCATTGCCTTCAACACTGCAGAATAAGGAGAAAAATCTTAAGATATAAAAATAAGGGAAAATATCCCTATGCAGTGAAGCAACTGAAGTCTTCACTAGAAAAATAAATTTCTGTTTAATTACAATAGTTTCATGTTTAGTACTATTCTAAAATTAAATAAATTCAAAATTTACTTTATATATAAATGATTATGTAATGAAAGTAAAGTTGCAATTTTTTGCAAACTGTATAATTTTTTAATTTAAAAATATTAATATAAAACTTTGTTATTATTTTGATAGGCTAAACTTCCAAAAGGCATTGAAAATATTAGACCACATATAAAAAATGTAGATAATGTTCCACTTTTGGTATCACTTTTTACTGATTGCACTCCCGAAACAACCAAAGAAATGATTTGTATAATGCAAGAAAATGGTGAAGTTGTCTGTTGTATGGGTAGCTCAGCTAATTGTAGTAATATAGCAGTTTTTCTTCAAGCTGATGCAAGGTAAAAATTTGTTTTAATTTTAATTAAATACTTTTAAAAATATTTTAAATTACAAATTAGTGATCATTGTTAATTTCATTTATTATTTTTTTTAATATATTTTTAATATTTTAAAAATTCAAAGTTGTGTTTATATATTTAAAGAGCTCTATAATATAGACTTTATTAAATTTAATATAATTAAGTGTATTTTTTAACTGTAGAACTCTAAAATGGCAGGAAATAATATATTTTTTATACTTATTAGTTTTAAAAATAATAAACCAATAATTTATATATAAAAATAATAACAAATATCCCTAGTTATATCAATTATGTATATATTAATCTAAATACAGTAGAACCTCGGTTATCTGGACTATTTGGGGATGAAGGTAGTCCGGATAAGGAAAAATCCAGATAATCGAAACAAATACTTTAATTTGTCTTTTAATGATAATACAACACATTTTCTTTTCGATGACATATCGGTAATATTAAAAATAAATACTGTATTTAAATCGTGATCAAATTTTCAAGAAACAAACGTTCGTATTAAATTTGGACTACTACTGACCAGCGCTAACAGACTAGCTATTGTTTAAAGGGCCCTCTGGCGGCTCAAGAAGACGGATTTTATAAAATAAAAAGCAATTGAAACTGCATTTTTATGAATAAAAATTTGACAAACTATTTATTGTTTTATGACGAGTAAAATTTTTTCGTCGCGTTCTCGGCTTAAAAGCCGAGAACGCGATGAAAAAATATACTGCATAAACCTTTGAGGCGCGAGGCCCTTCGGACCGCAAGGCATAGGCGGTGGCCCACATTGCCCATGCTTTACGCCGCCCTTGGTTATAGAAATGATGTAATTTGAGTATATATTATTTATAAATACGTATGTCAAGTTATATTTTTATTATGACGCAAAATATATTTAAGGGTTTATGACCACTGTGCCGGGTGAGACGTTGTTAAAACAAAAAATGTTATTCATTCTATCACGTACATAAACAGTGTTGTAATTCGCCAAGTGCAAATCAGCAAATTTGTAAAATTTTTGTTTATTTTGAACAATCCGGATAATCGAGGTTTTACTGTATATAAAATTACTTGCCCTGACTGACTGACTGAATGACTGATTCATCATTGCCCAGAGCAAACTGCTGAACCTAAAGAGGTGAATTTTGGTACATAGTTAGGGTATGTCATGAAAACGCGCACTAAGAAGGGATTTTTTGAAGTTCCCAGGTGGAGGGGAGAGGGAGAGGATTAAGGCTTAACCAGAAGAACGGCTTCTACTGTACTATTTTAGATGCGATTTTTTTGTTTTTATCTGTGTTTTAGTAGGATATGCCATGGCAATGCACACTAAGAAGGGATTTATCAAAATTCTCCCGCAGGGGGAGAGGGAGAGGATTAAGACTTAACTGGAAGAAAGGCTTCTACTGTACTATTTTAGATGCGATTTTTTGTTTTTATCTGTGTTTTAGTAGGGTATGCCATGGGAATGCACACTAAGAAGGGATTTTTCGAAATTCTCTTGCGGGGAGGAGAGGGAGAGGATTAAAGCTTCTACTGCACTATTTTAGATGTGATTTTTTTGTTTTCAACTATGTTTAATTTTCATTGAGTACTTAGATGTATTAAATTGATAACATTTCAGACATTGTTATAAATATTTTTATATACTTTGATTTTTTAACCAAATGTTCGAACCGTTTTAAATTCAAATTTATTATTGCATATTGGCTCGATTATAGAACTATTGTAAACATTCCAGAAAATTGATCAAATTGAAAACATTTCATTTGATTCTCGGCAATTCTCATTATTCTCAGCGGTAGGTGTTATATAACAATTACTATGGTTGTTGAAATACTGAATATAAATGAGGTTTGCTTGCATAATCCTCGCGGGCAAAGCCGCGGGTAACAGCTAGTTTATCAATAAATTAAAAATAAATATACAATTTCAATTTTGATTAAACAATTATTCTTAAGTTTTAGCTTTATTAGACAATTTTTTTCCAATAATAAAATTTGTATTCAATTATTTGTCTGCCCACATATTAGTGCTTTTTAGAACTCTAAAATAAACTTTTATGTTGATAAGCTCCAAGTTCCTTTAACATGTATTCATTTTTCTTTTTCTTTTTTTTTTGAAATAATCTATTATTTTTATGATAAAAAGATTTAAAATCGTTACAGCCTATTTTAATTTGAGTCATATTTATTTCAGAAATCTTTATTATATTAAAGAACTAGCCTACTCCAGCAACTGTTTTTATCTAATGCTTTCAGCTATCTATTTAGTCATCCTCAGGATAAAATACTTTTGAATAGAATTCTTTAAAGTTTAAACATAATGTTCCAAACAAGAATTATTTAAAATACATAAATTGACAAATATATACATTGAAAAATAAATAAAAATATTATAAAATTGAGGATAGAAGTAAAAATGTACAACAATGATGAAACTATACAGAATAAAATAAATAAATAAATACATAAAACAAAATACTTTTTTAGTCTTTGTTATCATTGTCCACTGTGTTTACAGGATATTTCTGAGCTTTTGATAAACAAGCAGCATCGTTATGGTTTATGCATGAATTTTTAATACTGTGCTAATATATCCAAACTTTTAAAGGGGACCAGCAAGCAGGTAAAACTCTAGAAAAAATATACATATATAAGTATAGTATTAAGAATTTGTGCGTAAACCATAAGGATGCCACTTGCTTATCAAAAGTTCAGAAATATCTCCTAAACACAGTGGACAATGATACCAAAGACTAAAACAATATTTCATTTTGTATTTCATCATTGTACATTTTTACTTGTATCCTCAATTTTATAATATTTTTGATTTATTTATTTTTCAATTTATGTATTTTAGATAATTCCTGTTTGGAACATTATGTTTAAACTCTAAAGACTTCTATTCAAAAGTGTTTGATCCTGAAGATGGCTACACAGATAGCAGAAAGCATTAAATAAAATAAAAACAGTTACTGGAATAGGCTAGTTCTTTAATGTATTTTGCAATAATCCAGTTCTACATTAATATATGAGAAATCTTTATTAGCAGTAGATAATAGAGAATTTAATAGATATTAGATAATTTAAGATTTTTTATAGTTTATTTAAAGAACAGATGCTATCTTGTTGCATTGTTTAATTGCATTATTGTTACATGACTGTAATATAAAGCAGTGTTTTTAACTGATAGTTCACAGACCAATGCTGGACCACAAAAATTATGTGACTATTCTGACACCTTTGCAGTTGATTACAAGTGACATTTAAATAGTAATATAAAGTTACAGTAAGTACTTTGTTATGTACAGTAACTCTATACAAGCTTATATAAGTGTAATAAATAAGCATAATTTTTTGTCACATATAATTACCAGTCCACGTAAAATTATCTATAACTTTACCGGTCCGTGTTTAGAAAAAGGTTGAAAAACACTGGTACAAAGTAAGTAATTACTTAAAAATTTCTTCAGTTATAAACTAGGGAAGATTCATAATGTGTTACAAGTTCACCTAAAGATATGTTAGATTTATGGATGCTAATTAGACATTAAAAAATGACTGAAACATATTTATCATGTTAGTTATTAAAATATAGTCAGTTCTTGATCAGATGAAAACATTGATTAATAAGGTAAACTTCTAATTTGTCATTGATACTTTAGAAAAATTTTTTAACTAAAATTCACCAGATGGTGCTCTCTTAATTAAGCATGAAACTATTGTTAACTGATTTAAAAAATAAGTTTTTTGATAATATACATGATCATTCATTGAATGTTCATGTATAAGAATATTATATCTATACTACTATATAAAGAGAGAACGCATTTTTTGTTTGTGACCACTAATCATGGAAACTACTGAACCAATCGTTACCAAATTTTAACTGTAGCATCTTTATGATCCCCGGAATGTTTACCACTGATCAAACCTACAGATTTTTTATTAATTAAATAAAACTGCAATGGATTTTTGTCTGTGTTTCTCTCTCTCTTCACTAGATTAATACACAAATTAATTTACACACACAAATTAATACTTTCTGTCTATAAGAAAAGTCTATTATTGAAGTTTGCTATTCTATTTGAAGAACTGACATTAAATTTTAATCTTCAAGGAATTAAAAAAGTAATGTCATCACGCTAGATGGCAGTACGTGTACTTATGGTGGGTTTTCGAATTGTTACGGATTAATTTCTGCGGGTAATTGTACAAAATATTCGAAATAGTTATTGAATTTATCTCAAATGAATATTTTTGAGATTGATTGATAAATAATGCGAAGAGCTGCGAGGCAAGATAATAATAATCTTATTCAGAGTTTCAATGGGTTTTCACATACAAAGTGGATTATCCACAAATAATTAATGAACAGTTAGTTCAAATTTTCAAAGTTCTATATGTACATAAGAGCCGGGGAGGCCGCGACAGGGAATGCTAGTATATATATAAAATTATAAACTTATTATATATATAATAAGTATATACTTAAAACTTATTATATATATATATATATATAATAAGTTTTAAGTATATTAAAAAAATTAGACCATCTAATCTGAGAAGCAATTGGAAATTTTTTAAATCACTTAGATGACTACATTGATAGTGATTTACTTTTCTCTAAAGAATTAACAATCTTGTTGCAAAATATGGCAACTGTGATACTTCTAATAGTGAAGATGAACTGCTACTGAATTAGAATGTATTCTATTAGTTACCAGCTCAAATGAAATTAAATGTGCTATGCATCTACATTATTAAATGTATAATAAAACTGGCATTCCCTAAGTCATATTTGATAAATTGGATGAAATTGAACTACCGTGTTTCTCCGAAAATAAGACATCCGCAGAAAATAAGACCTAGCACAGATTTTGCTGAATTGCGAAATATAAGACCTCCCCTGAAAGTAAGACCTAGCGAAGTTTTTTAGTCGTAACGACAGATGGTTGAAAGTGGCCATTGGCTTTTTGAAAGTACAGCCACTGATTGGTCAGCAGACAATTACGCCACACGGCATGATTTGCATAAGACTATGGCTTGGGAATCACAGATTTGCATAACGTTACGGCTGGTAATGGCTAATTGGTCGAACGGGAATCACGCCACATGACATTTGCATAGTGTACAATTCAGTAAGCACTAATTGGTCATCGAGTCCTATGTTGACGCTATAAAAAGGCGACAGTTCGACACACCGGATATACGTCACTCTCGTCTAAGTTCGACTTGGGAATTTTTTTGTTCAATAATAAATGTGAATTCTTCTTCCTGGAAAAAATAAGACTTTCCCTGAAAATAAGACCTAGCGCATTTTTCACAGCAAAAATTAATATAAGACACTGTCTTATTTTCGGGGAAACACGGTAAAAGTTAATCAGTTAGAACATGTTGGAAAGTGTCAATCTGTAATTTCTGATTATTTTAAATAAATAAAAACATTTTTGTTATTCTTTGATAAGGTGATGTTTTTTGTTTGGAAAAACAAGTTCACCTTATTGAGAACTGATTATGTTTATTTATTGCTGTCTTGTGACAGATTCTGTTTTTAATCTCTTAAGATTTTATTGCTTTAAATATAGATTGCATCATTTTTACATTATTTCTGTATTGTTTCTATATTCTGTTAGATTTTTCTTTTATTTGTCTCTCAACTTATCATACACAGTTTCTTGAAATAATGACAATTGCTTTTAGATGCATTTATTTATGATGACTATTGTTGTTTTTTGTTTTATTTTTCTTCAAAATTAACTCTATGTTTATTTTATTGTGTACTAGTAGCCTGGGACGCCCCCTAGTGGGCATTATTTACAAATTTCCATGTGACACGGTTCCTTTGACTTTTTTGTTTCTATCAATATGCTATACAGCTCTGTTAAAGTCCCAATGGTAAGATTTACCCTCCGAATGAAGAGGTGGCGACCCCCCAAACTGTAGCTCCTGTGTGAACAATAAAGTCAAAGGAACCATACCCCTACTTGCGACCCTTCGTGAGATATGAGCCCCTGAAATAATAAATTCCTGTTACAAATATACTGAATTATTTATATTGTTATATTGACCAAATAATAATTTATGGGCCAAATGAATTATAATAATTTATATTGTTAATTTAAATTCTAATTAAAATTGTTAATTTGAATGTTTGAAATATGACACACGATAGGGGCGTCTCTAGTGTCCGTTATCAAACGGTTACGGGACAGATGGACACCCATTGAATGGGTTATATATATATATATATATATATATATATAGATTTATGATACATTAAAACCACCCGTATTCATTTTTCTATTTTACATGGTCTTCCAAAAAGAATGCTACCATTTTAATTACTGTAATTATGTTTAATTATTACCTGAGAAGTATATTTTGTACATTAATTGATAGAGTAATTGTCTACCATCTGCATTCATGTCTTTTTGTCTACTGCCATTAAGAAGCCATAAACAAAAATGGCTACTCCACAACAGAGAAAGTGTTTTCTGTTCTGCAGTCCATAAAGTCAGAATCAGTCATCATTGTGTAACAAGAATGACAATAAGCCTTACAATGTGGATCACTTTAAAATTGTCTGTGAAAATAAAAAATCATCAAAAATCATGTTGCAAAACGATGACTGACTTTGTGAACAAAATGGTTTCTCTGTTGCAGAGTTACCATTTTTGTTTATCGGCTTCCTAGAGGCAACAGACGAAAAATGTTTGTTTACAGATGGTAGGTGAAACTCAAACATTTCCTATTTCAGTTGATGTACAGTACAGTACATTGCATATTTCTCAGTTAATAATTAACATAATTACAGTAATTTACAATGGTAGAATTTTTTTGGAAGATGCTTCCAAATATATATTCAAGAAAAACTTAATTAATACAATAAATCTGACTTACTGAACCTATAACTGATGCGTATCACTCTTTTTCTTTCACAAATCAAACGTTTTCATAACCCCTTCTGGGTTCTTCATCAAATTTTTGAAATCGGTATTTGATCCAGCTGTTATCCTGATGAAGAACCCAGAAGGGGTTATGAAAATGTTTGATTTGTGAAAGAAAAAGAGTGATACGCATCGGTTATAGGTTCAGTAAGTCAGATTTATTGTATTATATACAACCCAATGTGCAGTGATAGTATATTATTATATAAAAACTTAATTTTATAACAACTATATTATAACAATGATTTATTTTCAGTATTGCTATAGAACCATTATATCCGCAACTGTGTATGCAGCAACCTGTATTTGACACCCCTTCCATACCAGATAAACCAAAGTTAATAGAATTAAGTCAACAAATGAATAGTTTACCATGTGCTATGACCTTTCACAGAGAAGATCCTGTCAGCATGTATCATTTAATTATGGAGGTATTATATATTTTAATAAGCTCCTAGTTAAAATTCTTTACAATTAAAATTTGTATAATTTAAAACATTTATTTACTGAAATGTTCAATTTTTAAATAAAAATTAGTTTGAAAATCTCAGAATCAAAAATATTTAGATTGTGTTGTATATATATATATATATATAATAAA